GATTTGCTTCAAGTACAGTTTAGAAAACAAGGGTAAACTACTAAACATGAATTTGCCCAGAAAAACCCATCATAGCAACAAGAAAAGATAGGGTTTGTCCAGATAGGAGATAAGATCAACAGTAGATGTTGTAGAGCAAACAAACTTACTGGACAAATGGAACCTATACTGTGAAACAAACGTGTATCGAAGTAAAAAAAAATATATATATATATATATATACTTTTAAACACGGCAATTTTATGCTTCCACTGTCATAATGGGGCACTATTAAGAGAGAGAGAGAAGAGAGAGAGAGAGAGAGAGAGAGAGAGAGAGAGAGGGAGAGGAGAGAGATATATTGAGTTGCTTATTCTTTACAGAATATTACTAACACCTGAATTTGTTTTTGTTGTTATTGTTTGGGGTTTCGCTGGCAATTGTATGTTTAATAGTTTGCCATCATCATATAAACAGTCTACTGTCATTACCACTGTCGAAACGAAGGCAAGGCGGTCGGAACAATTATATATGACACGAGAAGAGCACTCGATTGTCCCTCGGGAAGTTAAAAGATAAGAAATAATGAGGTCTGACAGAAAGTCGGTATAAATACAGTGTTATATATCATAAGGAAACAACAAATGAAATGTTACGAACATTTATCAGGGCTGCTAGCAACCAATATACCAAGCTATGATATACAGAACAAGTGGGGATGGACAGAGAGATCTACTGTGCACAATAAGGTTTGTGGGGAATTGCCAATTAGGAAGCACACAAACAGACACTCTCCTCCCCCCCCCACCCCTCCCCAACCACACCCCCGGTCACATTGACACTACAATATACAAGAGGATGAAGATACGATGAGTTGCCAATTTGCCCAACATCTTTTCTGTTTGTCCCAGTGCTACCTGTTACCAGCTTAAATTTTCACATCGTCAGAACATACTCCAGTTTTCATCTTCTCGCGATTTACCCGAAGAATGTAAACTTCCCCTTTCTGATGTGGGTAATCAATGCTTTTCGAGGGTTAATCTTCCTGACCTCGTCACTACAATGATTGGTTATTGTCGGAAAGTAAAACACACACGAATTCTCTATTGTCTACCAAACAATTCTTAGCGAGCCATTTCTAATAAGAAATGAAATGATTGGTTATTGTCTTGCTTCAGTCACCTAACATAGGTTTGAGTGAACATAACAAGCATAAAATACCTAACAAAACCCTTGACCCATTAGGCTGGTGAAGGTGTAACCTTTGACCCATTTGGGTCGTGGAGGAATAACCCTTGACCCATTAGGGTCGTGGAGGTATAACCCTTGACCCATTAGGGTCTTGGAGGTATAACCCTTGACCCATTAGGGTCGTGGAGGTGTATTGATGGAAGCACTAGCACATAAAACCCGCCATTTTTCTCTGTCTTCTGCTGTCACTCTAGTTTCTCTTCACAGCGAACAAATCTTTCGTCTTTTTCTCTGTCTTCTGCTTGATGAATAAGTGTATGATAACTTAGTCCTGTCCATTTCTTGATGCTGTCATTCCATGTTTTTCTTTGCCGTCCTCTTCTTCGACTACCCCCCAATGTTCCTTGAAGTACCGTCTTTGCAGTCAAATCATGTCTCACCACGTGCTCAAACCACACTAGCTTGCGACGTTTCACCACTGCCAAGAGAGGCTCCTGATGTCCCGCAAATGTGTATATTTTGTCTCTGACATATTTATTAGTTTTGTGTTCTAAATAACTAATTTATAAAATGTGTCTGTAGCATTTACATTCCAAAGCCTGAATCCTCCTTTCCATTTCCAACAATAAGAGTCCAACTCTGACATGCATGTAAGAAAATAGACAATGCCAGTGATTTGTAAATATTGACCTTGACTGCCATGCTGATTTTGCCCTTCCCCATCGTAATCAGCTGCGACATGGCGGATGTTGTTATCTGTTGTACATAACTGTTCGCAATTCTAATTTAATGAGTTATCTCTCTAGATGTCATTAATTTTCGCATGTTATTAAATACGTTTTTCCAATTCTTGAATCTTTTAAATTTATTTGTACCTTACGCCATAAAGTAAAAAGTAAAGATCCCTTTTCACGCCTTTAGGCATTTGTTGTTTCACAATGATAGATAACAGATAACATTGTATTTATACCGACTTTCTGTCAGATCTAATTATTTCTTCGTGGGAAGAGCGCCCATATTTTTACAGGCCAATCGGCACTAGGTGGGTAATGTGGTCAGCATTAAGCCGACCGTCTTTACTTCCCCAAGACAGCCATCCTGGTACCCATTATAGGCTGGGTCGACCTGCAACGCCACATACCATGATACAAATCCACGCAGCCAGCAGTGGGTTTCGATCGTCGTATGTTGGAATTACGAGTCGGACTGGCCACGCCTAAGCCACGGACGTAACACCTTACGCCATAGTGTTGTATTAATTAAGACAATAGTTAGTTAATTAGTTAGTTAGTTAGTTAGTTAGTTAGTTAGTTAGTTAGTTAGTTAGTTAGTTAGTTAGTTAGTTAGTTAGTTAGTTAGTTAGTTAGTTAGTTAGTTAGTTAGTTAGTTAGTTAGTTAGTTAGTTAGTTAGTTAGTTAGTTAGTTACTTACTTAGTTAGTTTAGTTAGTTAGTAGTTAGTTAGTTAGTAGTTAGTTAGTTAGTTAGTTAGTTAGTTAGTTAGTTAGTTAGTTTAGTTTAGTTTTTTTAGTTAGTTAGTTAGTTAGTTAGTTAGTTAGTTAGTTAGATTAGATTTAGTTAGTTAGTTAGTTCGTTAGTTAGTTAGTTAGTTAGTAGATTAGTTCGTTAGTTAGTTCGTTAGTTAGTTAGTTAGTTAGTTTAGTTAATTAGTTATTAGTTAGTTCGTTAGTTAGTTAGTTAGTTAGTAGTTAGTTAGTTAGTTAATTAGTTAGTTAGTTAGTTAGTTAGTTAGCTAGTTAGTTAGTTAGTTAGTTAGGTGGCAGATCATCCCCGTTGTATATCCAGTCAGTCAGCCGAAAATAGCTCGGATCCAGTCCTCAGTAAATCCTCCAAAAAAGTGTGCCGGCAGAGGACACAGGTTCTGTGTTGCTTTATTCTTCTGTTAATTCGTGCAGGAAGAAGATGTCGAGGCCGACCTCTACTACGTTATAAAGATGTGTGCAAGCGGGACATGAATGATACAGGTATTGAGGCGGACTCCTGGGAACAAAATGCCATAGACCGTGTTGTGTGGAAAGGACATTTCAGGAAGGGAATGAGACTGAAGGAAGAAATGATTGCAGAAAGGATGAGAGCTGAGCGTCTGAAAAGAAACGGATTAAACACAAATGTTGTTAACAATGGTCCTGAAATCCCATGCTATCTTTGTGGAAGACTTTTCTTGACACGGGCAGGTCTTGCTAGTCACACTCGCCATCGACATGGGCTGTGAGTCTCATGTCTCCTCATAGCGCTATATAACACTATCGTCTGGAAAGACGGAAAGGTGCCAATGAATGATGAATTCGGGCATAGTACTCTCATCTGGCTTCATCCCTTTTAACTTGCCGTTGGTGCAGTTTAACCATGATTCAGTCATCGCTTGTTCTGGAAAACGTTTTATTTCTCGAAGAGCATTCAGTTTATCAGCCTGGCCTGTGGCTGGTTCTCTCTTCCGTGTAGCCTTACTGGCAAGTCTGTCAGCTTGTTGGATTCTTTCTCTGCCTGCTTGCCCTGGCTTGAAAGCAAAAGACCTTCTTCAACGCTTCATGCGTATTCGCCTAAAGCACTAAGTCTATATTTTAAAGACTTATGGTCACTCGTTTGGGTGATATGGTCAACACCACACCGACCACCATTACTTCCCAGGAATTACCCTGGAACTAATTAAAGCTGGGTTGACCAGGAAGCTGGGTCATTTTTTTAAAGTATGGCTTCTTTCGAATTTGAACCAACGACCTTTGAGATCCATAGAGGAACGTCTAGCTACCAGACTACGGTGCCCCCTGGCTGGAAATTAAAACTAATATTTGACATTCTCAGAGACATCAAGTCTTGGGTCCAGCCAGCTAGGAAATAACGAACAGTTAATAAAGAGACTGCACTTTTGATGACGTTCTAAAGAAAAGACAATGAAAACATAAAACCAAAAAGACAGCTGTCCTACAAAAACTGTAAGAGAACACTTGCTACAGTCACTAAAGTAAACCCTGAAGCCGTATAAATATTATAGATATATAATTAATAAAGAGACTATGTATTGACCCGCGCTCATAGAAAGAAGCTATGAAACACACACGCCATTTGGAGGTAACCGGTTCGATTCCCGGCAAGGTAACTAAAGCTTTCGATGAGTATGTTGTTATCTTGCTACTTCTTTCTATAAGTGCCGGTCCATTCGTCAGTCAATTTATCACGTGCAATCTGTTGTATGAGAGGTGTTTGTCTTTTTCTGTTGGTGTATGTATACTCCAGATGTTTACATAATGTCACAGTTTTGAACACGGTGTCAATTTTACATGCTGCCTGCCTTCAAGGGGCTGGTGAGAGCATGACCTACTTCATCTCTACTGTAGGTCGTGGTGTGTTTTTGTTGAATGGTCTGAAATTTGTCAGTCACTAGAGAGAACAGAAAAGCGGAAGTGTGATAGAGAAGGAAGTAGTAGTAGTAGTAGTAGTAGTAGCAGCAGCAGCAGCAGCAGCAGCAGCAGTTAGCAGTAGTAGTAGCAGTAGTAGTAGTAGCAGTAGTCTGCAGTAGTAAGTAGTAGTAGTAGCAGCAGCAGAAGCAGCAGAGCAGGCAGCAGCAGCTGCAGCAAGCCAGAAGAAGAAGAAGAAGAAGAAGAAGAACAAACAGAAGAAGAAGGAGGAGGAGGTGGTGGGTGGAGGAGGAGGAAGAGGAGACGAAGGAGGAGGAGGAGTTTAGAAGAATTAGGACGAAGAGGAAAAAAACTACACAATTTGACTTAAAACTGAAAACTCAACAATAACATATAATTTTTCAAACGAGTCAGATACATTTCGCATATCTATATGTTACTGTATATAATTTTAGATGCAGACTTGGGTTTGGATAATCCAGGACTTGATTTGCCTTCAGATTTTGAAAACGTTGTATTCAAAGGAAACAGCTCACTGTGAGTATTTGTTGTTTTAATTCTTTTTTCCTTTCATTTTTGTTCCATAGGATCCTTTAAATTGCACACAAATTCGTCAGCAAGCTACATGCTCAGTTCAAATTGTTCATGCAAGGAGAATCTTAGAACAGTTCACGGAATCAGCTCTAGATATGTGTATACTAGAATTTTACGTGCTAATAATGTAATGTTATATTATTACAATCGAGGTCACTGCACATTCATTCCCATGCGTGCTCAGTCCTTCAATACAACAGTCACTCCAAGGTACCTCTACTGATTGTTTCTATAAAAAGTTGGTTATGGTGTATCTTGTCTTGACCTCAAAGACGGCATAGACGTGCTTCACCAAGCTTTACTCACAAGTCACACAGTTGTGTTAGCTAATTATGTCAGCTTTCTAATACATCCCTTCCTTGTACAGAACTACAGCTTAAACTGAACTGTCTTGGCTAGGCCTGGGAGGTGGGGGGCAAATTATGAGACAGTTCAGCACACTGTTCCAGGGCAGCAAGCACATTGTTCCGGGGCCACCAGAGCTTAAAGGTGGCCCCTGGAGATGAAAGGGGGCCCCTGGAGCTCAAAGGATACTCCAGGAAATGAAAGGGGGCCCATGAAGGAGAAAATTATAGTATTTATAATCATCTAACAGATTTACATGTTCTTTGTTTGATATATTTACAAGTCTATTTGAATGTAATTAACAAATACATAGTTATGACTTTCCTGATTTATGTGCCCATATGTACACAGATTTTATATTACCCTTGTTCCAGCACTTGACAAACCTCTCGGCAGCTCCTTTGTCCCTACTGTATCTTCTTTGGAGGTTGAAGAAGATAATGCTGCCCTGTTTAAATTCGTATGCTTGTTTTTGGGATTTGTCCTGTGGGTCTGCTATCCAGACTGTGGGTCTGCTATCCAGACTGTGGGTCTGCTATCCAGACTGTGGGTCTGCTATCCCACCCAGACTGTGGGTCTGCTATCCAATCTGTGGGTCTGCTATCCAGACTGTGGGTCTGCCACCCAGACTGTGGGTCTGCTATCCAGACTGTGGGTCTGTAATCTCTGGGTGTCAAACCTGAAAGCAGCAGTCTGGATGTGAGAACGGACATGTATAATGGATTGAAACTGGGTTCGGATCTATGTCAGCTCCAGCCTCAGAGACACTGACTAACCGTAGCTAATTGCCCATGTTTGGCATTAATCTATAAAGTGAGGATGAAGATTTCATGAATCATTTGCTGTTTTGAGTGCCTGAGCAGTGGACTAGCTGATTAGTGATAACTTTTGCATTCTGAACTCTAGTTTCTGTCTGTGATAACTTTCACGTTCTCTAGTTTCTGTCTGTGATAACTTTTGAATTCTGAACTCTAGTGTCTGTCTGTGATAACATTTGTATTCTGAAGTCTAGTTTCTGTCTAGTTTCTAGTCTAGGGCCACTAGAGCTTAAAGGGGCCCCTGAAGCTCAAAGGGGACCCCAGAAGATGAAAGGGGGCCCATGAAGGACAAAATTATAGTTTTTATGATCATCTAACAGAATGACATGTTCTCTGTTTGATATATTTATAAGCCTATTTGAATGTAATTAACAAATACATAGTTATGACTTACCTTATTCATGGTACCAGGAAGGAGAAGCAGGGGCCGACCAACATGAAGGTGGTACAAGAGACCGAGGTTTTTTTTAGCCAGAATGTGATGAAATAAATGTTTTGCAAAGGACCTGCTACATGATGATGATGATGTTCTAGAAAGATAGACACAGTTAGACTGGTGTTGATTATAACATCTCCGATTTGTCTACACAAATATGTACTTAACATCATATTCTTGATATGCCAATGGCTAAAAAAAGTCTTTCTTTTCTTTTTACTTACTGATTGGTTATATCAAGACGGCGAGTCGAAAGATCAAACTTTATTGTCAAAATGTTACAAATGGTCTGTCAGGCTGGTCTTACATTCTGCCCTTCCATCCAGTCATCTTTCAAACAGCAATTATTGTAGGTATTATACCTGTTAAATTAATTTAGCTGTATACTTAACATGAATACCAAAAACTTACACAATATAAATTGAATCACAGGGTCATGTGCAACAGCCAATTCTACTGATGAGTCACAAACACAAGGGAAAAAACAACAACAAAACACACACATACACCCACACATGCAAGCATGCACTAGTGCACACACCCACACTAACTTGCACACATGTGATACTGGGATTTGATAAAAGATAAACATGGTTACAATATTGATATCTAGGCATGATACAGCATATAAGTGATTTTCCTTGCTGCCGTCTGCTGCTTTTCTGTATATGGTTTCCCTTGTCACGTCCTTTTCAGGACGTAATTTTTTGTTATTTGAAGCCCCACTCTGGCTTTTGCCAGGGGCCGCAATATAGGCAGGTCATAAAAATGGCCAAATGTCTGAACGCGGTTTCTGGGACCTCTCCACGGTGATCCTCATCCACATGGTGGCACATTGTGTCATCGGGTGTTTATCGCTTGTGTGATGTCCTGATGGGGTAGAAAGTCACTCACTCACTCCCTTGTCATTGGACTTTTTTTTTGACACACTTTCTATTGTCCTTCTTCATGTTTCCTTGGGTTGTACCTGTCTCCTTTTCCCAATTTATTTTCCATTGAAGAGCTGTCCTTGTCTCAGTGTCCAGAAGCATTCTGCAAACATGTCCAAGCCACCTCCGTCTTCTTCCTTTGATAACATTTGCCAGTGATGAACATTTTGTTTTCCTCCTAAGTTCATCATGTGAGTTGAGTTGAGGGGAGTCAAGACTTGACTTCACAACACTCAGGGCATTCCCATATGTGATCTGTCCTCTTCAGCAGCCAGTGCAGAGTTCCAATACTGATAGTATCGGTCACAATCTGGTTATATGTTTGTCTTGTCTTTTCTCTGAGTGTAGTGAGCCAGCCAGACCCTCTGGTTACATCCAGGTGCCTCATTCTTTCCAGGCCATAATAATCTTGTTTCTCTAATAATTCTGTTGCTTGTTCCCAAAGGGCTTTGACCACATCTGCCTTGTCATATATCAGTTCATCAGCAAGTGGTGCAGATTCAGCCAATCTGTCTGCCTGCTCATTACTCACTATGCTGGCATAGCCTGGAGAAAAGATCCAAAGTATGCTCACTACCCGTGACCTTCCCAGTGAGGCTTGCTACTTTGCTCGAAGCATCCCTGTCTTATCATGTGTGGTCTTGTTTGGCCAAAAAATCTACAGGATTCTCCTTAGATATTTAATTTGAAGTGTATAGCTTGTATGTAATTCCTGTTTTCACTTTCTGACACTCACGTTGTTGCCCTTGTATAATCTGAGTCTGATAGAGCAAAAGATTACTGCGCCCTCTAGCCAGCTCTGGTCCTTGTCTTTCTTTGCTGTTCTTTATTTACTACTTCTTTTACATGGTATCAGAAAAATGAACCAGGGACAACGCAACCTGGAAAAGGTGGGGCATGAGACTCACAGCCCATCATGTCGTTGCTGTCTACTGCAGTGCACTCCATAAACCCATGTCATGTTATTTATCTCTGCCTCTGATTCTCTTTTCCACATGTTTTCCTGTTTTTCTTTGCCATGTGGGTCCCAGTGGAAAGAAATTCAAGTTATACTATTAACATGTATATTCAGTATGTGTCCTATCCAATCCTAGTGTATTCTTTATTCTGATAAATGTGTTTACTTTTTGATAGCTGAGATGAAATATTTTGGTTGTTATATAAGTGTCTCACTTTCTTACGTTCTCTAAATTTAGAAGAAAAAAAAAAATAAAACTGAAGAAAATCTTCAATTTTGTAAGCATTGTGTATTTTCTCAGACGCTTAGTGTTAACTATATTTGTAACTGGTTTGTGCTCTGTCGGCACAGATACCTTCCTCAGGACAGCGTCACCCTGGGCGTTTTCCAGAACAGCGCCTTCGACAGAAGCTCTACCAGAAGCTTTAGCTTTGACCGCCTGACCCGGTGTCAAAGTTCAGTCCGGGATCAAGGACCCTTGACAGCCTTGCAAGGTCATGGTTATTTCAGTGGGGAGGGAGCTACGGAGCAGCCCTTGCAGCACAGGCACTATGGGCACCTCCAACAGCAGCAGCAGTATCTTGACTCTGTTCAGCAACAGCAAGGGTATCATCATCAACAGCAAGGGTATCATCAACAAAAACCAAATCAGTCCACACAGCTGGAAGACAAGACATCGTCTTGTTATACAATATCTGGCCAGCCTCAGATACCATGCGATATCACAGCTAGCACTTACACTGATTATACGTGAGTGACTCAATTTATCAGTAAGCCAGTTAGTTAATCCACCACAGAGACATGTAGTCATCCAAATTATTATGTATTCATTTAGCTGTTCCTGTAATCATCAAGAGATCAGTTACTGGGTAAATGAATTAGCTAGTGGGGCATGTAATCAGGCAAGGGGAATGTAATTAGGCAATGGAGAATGTAATCATGTTTTGGGGGATGTAATCAGGCATTGGGACATGTAGTCAGGCAGTGGGACCTGTAATCAGGCATTGGGACATGTAGTCAGGCAGTGGGACATGTAATCAGACAGTGTGACATGTAATCAATGTGACATGTAATCAGGCAGTGGTACATGTAATCAGGCAGTGGGACATGTAATCAGGCAGTGAAACATCTAATCAGCCAGTGTGAAATGCAATCAGACATATACATGTAATCAGTGTGACATGTAATCGGACAGTGGGACATGTAATCAGACAGCGGGACATGTAATCAGGCAGTGAAACATTTAATCACCCAGTGGGACATGTAAGCAGGCAGTGGGACATGTAATCAAGCAGTGGGACATGTAATCAAGCAGTGGGACATGTAATCAAGCAGTGGGACATGTAATCAAGCAGTGGGACATGTAATCAAGCAGTGGGACATGTAATCAAGCAGTGGGACATGTAAGCAGGCAGTGGGACATGTAATCAAGCAGTGGGACTACAGGGAAGATGCATGCTCTCAAAATTCAAATTTTGATCTTCTTGCTAGTGCTTAACCATAGACTTTTAAGGCTGTTTAGTCTTTTTATTGCTATAGCCATCCTGCTTTCCAATTTTGTTGAAGAGTCTCTGTTGCTGTTTATTACCAGGAAATGTAGAGGACAGAAAAGGTGGCATTTCAACTGATGGTTGCATTACCTCTCAAGTTCTGATTCTCTGTTAACTCCTTCAGGAAGGCATTACCTTTAAAGTAGCAGTATAATAGTTAATAGTTAAACGAAACGTTATTCTCATTGCACAAAAGACAAGCCCATAAGCACCTGGATCCCATCTTCAGTATATCCCCCAGCATGTGGCGACTGATAACACCTGTTCTAAGTTGGTTAACTATTCTTCTTTGGCTACCTGCATAGTGTTCATGTTTGACCTGAAGTTCTTGCAGTCTTTTGAGTGTTACCGATTCAAAGTTGTCTCCTGAATCATCTTCTCATCCTGCCTCCTTGAGAGCATTAAGAATGTTGGCTTGATCTATTGATTTCCCTGTACCTATCATGGCCCTGCCAGCAAGCCAATCCACGTGTTCATTCCTTCATACCTCAGAGGTTCGAAAAATAAAACTAATTTATTTCAGAATCCACCCTGTCTCTACTTTCTTAAGCATCTTCATGGAATCACTTAGACAGCATGCATGAGGAAAATGCTGTATCTCTAGCCAATCATTGCTTTTGTTACCACCATCACCTCCATAGTAAATCTACTTGTAATTGAGGCAAAAACATAGTTGTAGTGACTAGTAGAAAAACCACATGTTCTAATCAAATGGGAAAATCACATTATGTTATGGATGGGAATCAAGAAGTCAATTCATTAATGGGACTGAAAGAGTTAAACAAATATGTTTAGCACCATATCCTCAGGGAGTCCCCGTGGCAGAGCAACTAGACGCAGTCCGCGGATTGGAAAGTCGTGGGTTCGCTCACTGGCGGAGCCTGAATTTTCTTCAAAAATGACCCTGGCTCCCAGGTCGACCCAGCCTTGAGTGGGTAACGGGTGCAGTCCCGGGAAGTAGAGGCGGCCGGTGTGGTGCTGACCACATCACCCATCTTGTGCCAATTGGTCTATAAAATATAGATCTAGCCCTATATGTCCTATATGCCTTAAGGCGTAGAAAAGGGTCCTTTACCTTTCTTTTTTTTACTTACTTACTCACTTAACATGCATCAATGATGAGAAATGTGTCCTTTACTTGTTTGTTCTTACATAGAAGACTGCCAGAAAGCCCGCCAGACTCTGGATCCGAACCTTACTCACCCTCAGATGTTGACCTTCATATCCAGGCCATGATTGGTGAGTGCCAGATTTTGTACATCTTGTTTGCCATCATCTGTTTGCTGTTATGTGCGTGATTTTTACATTTTAATGTGTGTGTGGTATTTACTGCAAGCACATTTACTTTCTATATTGCTTTTCTTAACTTGTGTCACTATCTTTCAACTTGTGTTAGTTTTTTAACTTTTAAAAAACTTTCGTAGCTTTTCACAGCAGGGTATCTGAGCGGTTGTTCTTATAACATGTCAGGGTGACTGTTCTCATAACACTATACATATATAAATGTTCTTATAATATTATAGATAAGCTGTTCCTGTAACATTATAGAGTGGTTGTTCTTATAACATTATAGAATGACTTTCCTATATCATTAAATAGTAACTGTTATTATAACATTGCTGATTGCCCCCAATCTGTAACATTGTGGAGTGATTGTTCTTATAACATTGTGGAGTGATTGTTCTTATAACATTGTAGAGCCACTTCTCTTATAACATTGTGGAGATTGATCTTTCTAATATAACATTGTGAGCCACTTTTCTTATAACATTGTGGAGTGATTGTTCTTATAACATTGTGGAGTGATTGTTCTTATAACATTGTAGAGCCACTTCTCTTATAACATTGTGGAGTGATTGTTCTTATAACATTGTGGAGTGATTGTTCTTATAACATTGTGGAGTGATTGTTCTTATAACATTGTGGAGTGATTGTTCTTATAACATTGTGGAGTGATTGTTCTTATAACATTGTGGAGTGATTGTTCCTATAACATTGTGGAGTGATTGTACTTATAACATTGTGGAGTGATCTTATAACATTGTGGAGTGATTGTTCTTATAACATTGTGGAGTGATTGTACTTATAACATTGTGGAGTGATTGTTCTTATAACATTGTGGAGTGATTGTTCTTATAACATTGTGGAGTGATTGTTCCTATAACATTGTCGAGTGATTGTTCTTATAACATTGTGGAGTAATTGTTCTTATAATATTGTGGAGTGATTGTTCTTATAAAATTTGTAGAGTCACTGTTTTTATAACATTGTAGAGTGACTGTTCTTATAACATTGTAGAGTCACTGTTTTTAAAACATTGTAGAGTGACTGTTCTTATAACATTGTAGAGTGACTGTTCTTATAACATTGTAGAGTGACTGTTCTTATAACATTGTAGAGTCACTTTTTTTATAATGTTGTAGAGATGACAAGCTGTGGAATCCCTCAAAAGATTTACAATAGTTGAAAAATACCTAGTTTCTATTATTCCACCAAAACACTCATTTGACTCAGGCAGAAGCATGAAAACTTGAAGACGGTGGACAAAGATATTTGTTTATTTAATCATAGACTTCCCTTGAAACCAACTATTTTTCTACTTTTGCAGACCTCAAGTCCACAATACCAGGCAGCATACCAACCTTCAGTCCCTCGGTGCATCATCTCCTTTCTAAGTCTGCAGTCAGAGTCCCATCTGGCAAGATGGCACCAACATTTGAGTCATCAAAAGTAAACAGCCATTACACAGGTCTTCCACCATATTCTGTACAGCAGCAACTCCTTTTGCAGCCTGGTCAGCAAATGATGATGCAACATCAGCAGGCAGGTCAGCAAATGATGCTGCCATATAGTGCAGACATGCTCAGGGGTCATAGACTGCCTATGCACCATTTGCCTCTGCCGCTGACTCAGTCCATCCATCCATCACAAACAGAAAGGTTTGTTCAATATTCTCATTTCTCTTCTTCTTTCCACAGCCTTCTGTCTCATATTGTTTCAATCAACTCTGACACAGATGATCCTCCAAGCCATGATGTCAAACTGTCTCGCATCTTTTCTCTTGGTCTCCCTCTGCCTCCTCCCCCCCCCCACCCCAACTTGTCTACGTCACATTGTACTCCAGTTTTCGCCTTCTCATCCCTATGACTAAAGATGTAGATTGTCTCTTCTCTCATTCCTCATTGTTATAATTTTCATCATCCTGAAAATCAGTAGCGTCATAAATAACATTTTCATTGTCATCCTCAGAATTTGGTCATTGCAGCCATAAACATCTTCTCACTTATCACCGTAATCAAAAAATGATCATTTTCCCCAGGATGTTTTTGGGGACAGCCATTCAAGAGTAAAATTACCTGTCAACATTTGTGAACATTTCCTTTGAGTGTTTTGGGTTACAGGCATTCAAGAGTAAAATGAGTTGTTGATGTTTATGAACATTTCCTGAATGTTTTTGGGGGACAGGAATTCAAGAGTAAACTGAGCTGTTAAAATGTATGACAATTTTTTCTGGATGTTTTTGGGACAACCATTCCAGAGCATAACCAGCTCTTATTGCCACACTCAACAGGCAATGTAGAAAAAAAAAAACCTGTTGCTGTTAATGCAGAGGTCAACGCTCTCATCAGTAAAAATTCAGACGAAGCAGATGCGTTATAGGCCAAAAAAGAAGTGCATGGGCATTCACAGCACGCTCAGTGGGCAGAACAGTCAAAGAAGCCAACAGGGCCTTCTCCATGACAACCAGCAGCATGACGATGGAGGTGATGGCAGTGACGCAAGCGTTCGCCTGGCTCGAAACACAAAAATACACCCGCGTAGGTATACTCAGTGATTCAATGAGTATTATCCAGGGTTCAGGCATGTTCGGTGCGAAGACAATGGCTTGAATCATTACAGAAGTCCACTGTCCGTGGAGTCACCTTTATTTTTGTTCTGGGACATGCAGGCATCAATGGAAATGAAAGAGCTGACAGGTTGGCTGGATCCGCTATCACTACCGACGGTCAGCCTATGGATCTTGCTATTATTAATGCCCTCAGAGAAATGGGAAGGATAGAGGACTTTTGGGGCAGTGAATCCACATCACTCGCCAGAATAGAAGACTTGGGAATAAGATCGGCATAGCAAAAAACGAGACACACACCAGACACACCAGAAGACTTGTTAATCAACACAGAACTGATACTATTAGCCATTGGACATTGGGATGAGGGGAGAATCTGAGCACCTATGGACATGCCCGGAGTGCAGTGATGATAACCCAACTAACTAACCAACTCTTAAAAATAATTTGGCACATAAGATCTGATTCTGGGGCTGTCCCCAAAAATTGGGAACGAATGATCACTTTACCTTATCTGCACTGATGCTAATTTGGTCTCACTGTAAATGTCAAAGCCGAATATGCTTAGCAATTACTTGCAATTCATCCTGCGTAAAGCAGTGAAAATTTGATAATTTATTTGCCTTTGAGATGTTAACATTTTTCACCTGTGTTAAGTGTACGGTTATGTGTGCTCTGGCCACATTTATTCTCATGGCGTAGACCAGTGTTTCCCAAACTTTTCTTGGTCGCCGCACCTTTTGTTTAAATTAAAATTTGTCCACGGCACCATAACCTAAGTAAAAGTATGACTATTTGTGTCTTGGCTAAATAAATTATGAAGCCTTTACAATATTGTGCGCTGCCCCTGTAAAGAGGTCGCTGCTCTCCGGGGCGCTGCAGCGCACAGTTTGGGAATCACTAGGGTAGACTAAATAGTGCTGTAAATTTTGACACAAGCTTCTGCAAGATGACATAGCAGTCATAAAAAGGATAAGATGAGACTGCTACAAAAAAAAAGTGACAAGCCTTGAAAGTATTTCATGCCTTGCCACTTTGGCACATTGAGCTACTTTGCCAGGAAAGAAGTGCCTTTAACATTTCTGGAAGCTGTCATAAAATACTCAAGTAGTTTATGATATTGAAACAAAGCACACAACCAAGGCAGGATAATTTTGTGAGAGTGGGGAGGTGGGGGGGGGGGGGGGGGGGGGGGGGGGGGGGGGGTGTGTGGTTGGGAGGGGGTGGTTAATATTTTTTTTACGTAATGCTAAAAAAAAAGACTAATAATACACTTGCAGTCAACATCATCATCATCATCACCATTATCATCATTATCATCATCACCACCACCATCATCATCATCATCAAGTATTTCAGTCCCTTGGATGATAAATCTTACTGATAACTTCATTTTGGTGTTGACTACTTGTGCTGCTCTGTTTAACTGCACATGTCTTTTTTTTTAAATCAGATCTGTGAATTTTTATTTCTTTTTGTTAATCATCCCCCTTGCTCATTCCCTCAAAGTTGCGTGCTGCAAAACTCTGTGATTCTTTCTAACTTAGGAGCTAACTAAGCCTTGTGAGTCTTGCTTTTTTTAATAAAACCTAAATTATTAATTTATACGTCTTCAGGGTTCGATCCCCCCAACCCCTCCCCAAATCTGTGTATTAGTCAGTCCTTCAATCTAGCCGATTCTTGATATTCTCTAAAACCACATCTTAACTCTTTGAGTCCCAGAGAGTTTAGCATTACAGGCCCAAGGGGTGCTCAAAAGAGACATAATCAGTGCATTATGCGTTTATTGGGCTTCTAGGCAGTAACCTATGAACGTATGATGCGTTCCTTGGGACTCAAAGAGTTAAATGCATTTATGGTCTTGTTAAAATGCTTATCCGTTGTTCATTTTTCAGTCCCTATCATGCAACTTATTAGATTGTTTCTATTAAAAGAAAAATTTGCCTCCTCCAAATAGGAGCTAACTGTGGTGTATTACAAAAGGTAAAGACCATTAGGCAACAGACCACTTTGCAGGTTACCAACCAGTTCAGAGGTCTTTTTATTCACATCAAAATCACGAGATTTGGACGGCAAACATATTGAATCCATGGCACTGTCCTTACCGGGTGAAGGAACTGATGGTAAACTTTCATTCACACACTTATCTCCCCTATCATCTGTCAGGACACTGTCTTGCTTGAATTGATTTTGACAATGATATAGAGAGCCCCCCACCCCCTTTTATTCTGAAAGCAGTGACAAATTACTGAAGTAAAATTGGCTAATAAAAAACACATAAGCAGCCAACAAAATGTTAGGGGGGAGGGGGTTATTTACAACATCTATAAATGATACACAGCTAACTTTTATTCACTAATTGGCCTTGTTTCTTTTGCAGCTTACCAGGTAATATAAACCAAGTCAGCAAAAAACGGAAATACTCTGAATCTCCAACTGGCATACTCAAAACCAGCTTCCTGCATGGAACAAATGACATTCCAAATATTAAACAAGAACTGCCTGGTAATATTAATTTACAAATGTTTGTTTGGTTAGTAAATGTTCACTTTAACTGTTTATGGATTATTCCTTAAATGCTTCAGGCTCTTTTCTTTGATCACAGAATAAAGGCATCAGCTCAAGCCTAAAAATCCCAACTTGACAGGTTATTTTGTGTGTATGTGTGTGTATATATATATATATTTATAAATATATTTATATATGTACATAAAACAAGTTTGGCAGAAGCTGTCTGTGCTAATTCACTCTGCATGGGGATTCGACACAGGCTTATCTAAATAGCACAGTTCATGCCCACTGCACTGGCCATGCAACCCTCAGGCTCACATACTCTGCCAAAAGTGGTAAAATACAGACAGAAAAGACAGCAAAACCTGGCAAGGATCCCAGCATGAATCACACATAATATAAACTGTATATGGGAAGGTTTTAATATGTTAAAAGTTTACCTTTGCATTGGACTACATATTGATCTCATACAGCCATACTAAGCGTATTCATTCCCACTCTGTGCTACCAGCGACAGACCTTGTGACTCACAATAAACCAGAAAAAACAAAACTGGCACAAGTCGGCACAGAACCGGTTCTAAATGACATATAAAGACAATAAAATAAATTATTTTCCAACTTAAAGAGAGTGTCTTTGATGTCATATTTTACAAGGCACACAAAAGAGGAGAAGGACGTAGAATATTTGGTAGACCAAGAACAAGATGGAAAGATAACATCAGAAAAACTCTACCCTGTACAACAGCATGATGGCTCTATGGTTAAGGTGTTCAGAAGATGGGGGGATTGGGGGGGGGAGGGGGGGGGGTGGCTAGAGAAAGAAGATATTAAAAATTTTGTAGCAGATATATGTACAAAGTCTGACAGTTAAGTAATGACACTGGTTTTATTACGGCCAAGACAAAAGTGTCATCTTTGAAGCAAAGCATGGAATCAAAAAAGGCAACCTTCATCTATAAAGCTGTCAAATAAAGCCGCCATTTTGCTGACCTAGTCAGTGGTTTATTGTTACGTAATCAGCACGGAGCAAAAAGCCAACATTAAATTCTTTTTAAAACTCAACAAAAGAGCCATTGCAACAGTTGAATTGATGCGACAAGTTTATGGGGATAATTGTTTATCTTGTGCACAGATTTTCAGCTAATATTCAAGATTCAAATATGGTGGGAAAATGATAACAAATGCAACTAGACCTGGATGTCCGTGTCTGTTCGAAATGAGGAACTCATTACAAAAGTCAGAGAAGGGATACAAGAAGACCGTTGTTTGACTGTGAGGATGGATGGTAGATGAATTTGGTGTGAATAAAGAGACCATTTGTAAAATTTAAGTGGAATATTTGGGCAAGAAAGAAATTCGCTTGCTGGTTTGTACCATAGTCATTGTCTGATGACCAAAAACATCAACGTGTTAATACACAAAAGACATAATTAAAACATGTTACAGAAATAATAATTTCTGAAATCTGATTGAGGCAAAAGATGAAACATGAATTTTCTGCTTTGATCCCATAACTAAACACCAAAGTGTTAAGTGGAAGTCATCATCATCATCACCAAAAGGCAACTCAAAAATCCTTCTTCAAAAGTCAAAATGAAGACAATCTTGGTGTGCTTCTACGACATCAAAGGAGTTATTCACAAAGAATTTATTCTGGAAGGACAGACTGTCACAGCCACAGTTTATTTAAGTATTTTGAAATGTCTGTTGAAAAAGATTCTCTGAGTCTGACCCGAGTATTCAACACCTGGCAGTTTTTTCCCCCCTTCTTGATGACTATGCACCAGCTCACCGGGCGTTAGTTGTACAGGAATTTCTGGCTCCAAAACAAGTGTGTGTTCTCAACCATCCACCCTAATCCCCAGATCTGTCTCCTTGTGATTATCTTCTGTTCCAAAAATTAAAGTTACCATTAAAAGGACACTTCTTTGATGATATTGATGACATCCAACGGGCCGTAACATCAATTTTGGGGGGCCATAACAACAGAAGAACTACGAAGGGTCGTTCCTGTGTTTGTTAGATAGTGCAACTCACTTTATCAATGCACAAGGGGCTTAATTTGAATAAAATACAGGTTATATCCTCCACTGTTGATTATTTTAACTTTTATGGAATTGGTCTCATTACTAAATTGTCGGACCTTGTGCAGTGTTGAATGTTGAATTAAGAATCAACATCACAGCATTTGGGACATACTCATAAGTGCTCCGTCCCCATTCTTGGCAGCAAGCAAAGAATTCCATTATCCTCAGACCATAAGAATCTATTTGTGCTGCCACACTGTTCACTCGCTCCTAAAGGACCCTTACAACATCCAGCTTCTCATACATCAGTTCATCACCAACTGGTGCAGAACCAGCCAGTCTATATGTCTGTTCATTTCCCAACACATCGGTATAACCAGGAAAAACATCTAAAAGATGCTAACTATCCGGGACCTCTGAAGTGACTCTTTCCATTCTGTACAGAGCATACCTGGTTCCATCTTTCTCAACATGCTCTGCAAATCAGCTATAATTAGGACATGTGTGTACAGCTTGTTCTCAAGCCAGTGGAAGGCTGCAGTAATTGCCTCCACCTCCGTTCAAACTAGATGTTGTAGTCGCACTAAGCAACATCCATTCACTTTTTTTTATTTTAAAATTTTAAAAAACATGCACTTCTGCTTCTCAACACAGTCATTTGTATAGATAACCACATCAACTGAAATTGTCATTGAATCGTCTGTTGAACTTCTGACTTTGCAGTGCCTTGCACTCATGGCCCAGTGGGATTAGAGCTCTACACAAGTTTGATTCTTGCTTGGACACTTTAACCCACTTTTTTTCTTACCCAAATTTATCAGGCCTGTACACATTTAATTCTGTCTTCATTTTGTGAATCCAAGACTCTTTTTATTCCAGTCTGTGACCCTTTGTCTACCTAAGGCTTCATGCAGGAGGTTATTCTCATCTGCAACTACTCTGAGATGTACTATTAAATGTATGGCCAAACTGGCAGGATTAGATATTTCTAATAAGCAGTCAAGATAATTTTGTCTATTAATTCAGTCGGTTCATTCACAATGCATTTAACCTCAGTATATCCTTTTTTTTATGCATTTAATTAATAAGTTCACCTATTTAATCAGTCTCTCAGTTAATCCATAAATCAGTCTTTCAGTCGGTCAGTCAGTCAGTTCTTTTGTGGAGCAAGTAAAGAAGATGTCAGCTCAAATACACGTACTCCGTCGCATAAGCTAAAATCCTGGAGCTGCAAGAAATCAACATTTCACTAAGTGGACAAGATGTTTTATTAACCAACACAGAACAGGCGTCATCAATCGTATTACACTTGTGGAACTTTTGAGGAGGAGATCGGAGCACCTGGATCTGTGCGGAGTGCTGTACTGATAATCCTTTCTAATCACTAATCACCAATCACTAGTCAGTTCATTTGTCCATCCATTGATTCATCTGTTAATCAGCCAGTCATTTTGTGCATTCAGACAGTTAATCTAAATATCAATAATTCAAGTCATTTATTTTGTTGTCCAACCATTGATCCATCAATATCCAGACACTCAGTTAACCCACACATCAACCATTCACTCAGTCAGTTCAATCACCTATCAGTTGATTCACCTTTTAGTTCTCCTTGAATTAATAAATCAGTTAATGAATCCCAAAGCCATTCAGCAATCAATAACAAATCCTCTCACACACCACATTCACACAGGTCCCCAGTGCAGCAACTATGTCACGCAGCAGTCGTGTGATTTCAGTGACCTGCAAGTATATGATGTGGATTCCGACGGAGCGTTTGACACCACGTATCAGATGATTAAATGGCAGCCATATTCTCCATCAACGTGGGCCATTTTGACAGATGGAGACTTGAGGGATCTGTAAGTATCTGCAAGCTTGACATCTCAGAAACACACCATGAACTTGTGTGTGTCCAGGACATGTGTGTGTGTGTGTCCAGGACATGTGTGTGTGTCCAGCACATGTGTGTGTGTGTCCAGGACATGTGTGTGTGTATCCAGGACATGTGTGTATGTGTCCAGGACATGTGTGTATGTGTCCAGGACATGTGTGTGTGTGTCCAGGACATGTGGGTGTGTCCAAGACATGTGTGTATGTGTCCAGGACATGTGTGTGTGTCCAGGACATGTGTGTGTGTGTCCAGGACATGTATGTGTGTGTCCAGGACATATGTGTGTATCGAGGACATGTGTGTGTGTATCCAGGACATGTATGTGTGTGTCCAGGACATGTATGTGTGTGTCCAGGACATGTAGGTGTGTGTCCAGGACATGTGTGTATGTGTCCAGGACATGTATGTGTGTCCAGGACATGTGTGTGTGTGTGTGTTTCCAGGACATGTGTGTGTGTGTGCCCAGGACATGTGTGTGTGTCCAGGACATGTGTGTGTGTCCAGGAAATGTGTGTGTGTGTGTGTCAAGGACATGTGTGTGTCCAGGACATGTGTGTATTTGTCCAGGACATGTGTGTGTCGAGGAGATGTGTGTGTCGAGGAGATGTGGGTGTGTCCTGCTCAGCAAGCTAATTGATTGGTTGCTGCTATAAGCCCTGGATATCAGTATTATACCTACTGAGCTTACTTCCCTGGATATTTCCAATGTAATTATGTTTGTGTCAAGCTGAGAACCAAGGTCAATTTTAAACAGTCTGGCAGAATGCAGGTTTGAATCTAAGACCTTCGGGAAGGCTGGCAGTCAAGTATGCAACCACTGGACTATTGTGACTCCCATATGACAGTAGCTTTTATTTCTGACTGGTTCATGGCTTGGTAACAGGCTGCACACACATGCCATGATTGTTACTGACTCACAAAACATGTTGAAAAACAGGGAGATAGGAATGGTTTGTTCAGAGTGGTGAGATAGGTATGCTTTGTTCAGAGTGGTGAGATAGGTATGCTTTGTTCAGAGTGGTGAGATAGGTATGCTTTGTTCAGAGTGGGGAGATAGGTATGCTTCCTTCAGAGTGGTGAGATAGGTATGCTTTCTTCAAAGTGGTGAGATAGGTATGCTTCGTTCAGAGTGGTGAGATAGGTATGCTTTCTTCAAAGTGGTGAGATAGGTATGCTTTGTTCAGAGTGGTGAGATAGGTATGCTTCCTTCAGAGTGGTGAGATAGGTATGCTTCCTTCAGAGTGGTGAGACAGGTATGCTTCGTTCAGAGTGGTGAGATAGGTATGCTTCATTCAGAGTGGTAAGCATCGCTTCAGAGGTCCCGGAAGTGAACAGGGCATTTACTCCAGAGTAAAACACTCTTAACAGGTCTGTGGGGTTCTTCTGTTCTCATGTTTAGAAAAGACTAAATAAGTTTTAAAAATATTCTCATACTGCAAGTTGTCGGCTTATGTGAGTTAGGTGTTGCGAACACTCTTCATACATTCTGAGGTGCCGGGTTCCAGCTCAGCTGGGGACTATCTGGCAGCAGACCACCTTGCATTGGTTTCAACAGGGGTATCAAGAGCCGACTATTTAGAAAACAAAAGCAAACTGAAATGTAAAACTGCCCTGTAAAATCATGAACAGCCCAAAAAATAAGGTTGGGGGCTGGTTCTGCAACATCCTGTATTGGATACGCAAATATTTTGTTTTTCTAAACTGCAGGTTAGAAAACGAAAGACTAAATATGTGTTTTTAACATCCCCATACTGGAAATTAGATGTCCAGACTGTAGGATAACTCTGCACCACAAGTCAGAAGACATCATCATCATGTATCAGGTCCTTTGCAGAACATTGCTCTCATCACAGTCTGCCTGAAAGAAACTTGGTCTCTTGCCAGTTCTCCAGCCTCAGGTACTTTCATACTCTAGGAGTCACTTATATCCTGGGCCCATCTTCATGTCGGTCAGCCCCTGCCCCTCCTTCCTGGTACCAAATAGTGATTAAATAAGTTAATGATGTTGACCATTTAATTTGGATCTTCAGTCACTGACTCCCAGAATGTCCACAGGCCAGCTCCCCAGTTTAGAGTGGATGCAGACAAAGGCTTCAACTTCTCAGTATCAGATGATGCCTTTGTTTGCCAGAAAAAGAATCACTTCCAGGTCACAGTTCACATGTGTCTCTATGGCAATGCCAAATATGTCAGAACTACTGAAGGGCTAGTGAAAATTGAGAGCTTCCTCCTCCATCTTTATGGTGTCAAGGTAAGATAGGTTCTGTCAGTTTTCATCTCAGTGTGGGACAGTAACATGAAATTTTTCTCAAATGAAATACTCCTATAAATTTTAATCTCAGGATATGGGCACTTAGGTAACATCAGATGGAAGATGCATTACTGAGATAAGAAACAGAGTAGGACAGGCAAAAACTGTGTTTTATAAAATGAAGAACATCTTATGCAATATATCTTTGTCATTTAGGGTTAGAAAAAGAATTCTTGCTTTCTACATACATCCAGTTTTAACATATGTCTGTGAGTCCTGGACAATCGGTAGGCAGGCCAAACAATTTCTTGAGGCCTCATAGATGTGGTTTTACAGAAGAATGCTTAAAATACCTTGGACAGCCAAAAAGAGCAACCAAGAGGTTTTGAAAGAGGTGGGAGCCAGAAGAAAACTTATCACAGACATCAGAAGGAGACATAATTTTTCGGCCATGTTATGAGAAGAGGGAAAATGGAAAATGTTGTGACCATTGGAAAGATCTGTGGAAGGAGGGATAGAGGAAGACAACGAGAGAAGATTCTTGACAGTCTTGTTGCATGGCATAGAGGTGTGTCAGCACACGGACTGATACATGCTGCAGGAGATCGCAAATTGTGGAGAGGCATGATCGCCCTCGCCAGTTCGCAAAGCACCTGATGATGATGATAGTGATGTCACTAAGTAACATCACATTTATTTTTCAGTTTAGCAGACACTATCAGCCCTTTGTCTCACGATGTAATTTAAAAGTATGTTGGACATCCTCTATGGTGAATTAAAGATAGATCAATCTCTACTATGATATAAAGATGCGTGCAAGCAGGGCATGAATGATATAGATATTGAGGTGGACTCATGGCAACAAAATGCAATGTTCTGTGTTGTGTGGAGGGGGCACATCAGAAAGGACATCAGCCATGAAATCTCATGCTATAACTGTGGAAGACTTTTCTTAACGTGGGAGGCTCTGGCTAGTCACCCTCACCATTGCCATGGGCTGTGAGTCCCATGCTCCCTCACAGTGCAATATAACCCTATCGTCTGAAAAGTGCCAATTAGTCATTACAAAGTCTGATAAAAATATACAACCTAAAGCTGGGGGAAATATAATTGCTCGCCTGAATGTCTGAAACTCAATTACTTTTCAAAATTGCCTACTTACAGATGCATTCACTTCTCTCATCAATCCCTTTTGTGCTAGAAACATTTCATGAAGGCTGTGGGATAGAGTACAGCAGGGCCTCTTGTGTTCCCTATTTCACATCGCTCCTGTTGACCAGGACTTTCAGCTTGGAGGACAGCCAGAAATTGTCAGGAGTCATGCCAGGAAAGGTTTGAGCAGGATGAACAGAAGAATACTGTTTAATCAAGAAAGTTTGGCCATAGAAACTTCAGTTTCTTCATGATTTGATGTGATTTGATTTGATTCAAGAACCGACATCACAGCACTCGGGGCATTCCCATAAGCACTCCGTCCCCATCTTCAGAAGCCAGTGAAGAGTTCGGATACTAATGGTGCCAGTAGCATTCTGATTAAACGTCCGTCTTGCCTTTCCTCTGAGCCTCGAGCATCTGCCAGAACCTCTTGTCACTTCCGCTGCATCAATCTCATCAGACTGTGGTGATCCATCTGCTCCTCCGAACTGTACACTCTCTCTCACAAGGCACTAACCACGTCTGCCTTATCATGTATCAGTATTCCACCAAGTTGTGCAGAGCCAGCCAGTCTGTCCGTGTGTTCATTTCCCAACACACCGGCGTGAACCGGTGAAAAAATCCAGACAATACTCCTCACCCGTGTCCTCCGCAGCGTATTATACCACTCTGCACGAAGCATACCTGTTCTGATCTTCCTCAGCATGCTTTCTGAATCAGTTACAATCACGATGTGTGTGTGTGTGTCGTGTTCTCTAGCCAGCGGAAAGCTGCAGTGACCGCCTCCACCTTCATTCTTAAGCTAGATGTTGTGGTATCATATGCTAGGTTCTACTGCACCAAACATTGACCATTAACTTTTGCTAAGAAGCCCCAAGAAGAGAGAGATGATCATCTAGTGCAGTGGTTCTCAACCTTCCTAATGCCGTGACCCTTGAATACAGCTCCTCATGCTGTGGTGACTCCTAACCATAAAATTATTTTTGTTGCTACTTCATAAATTCACTGAATATGTGTTTTCCGATGGTGACCCCTGTGAAATGGTCATTAGACCACTAGAGGGGTCACAACACACAGGCTGAGAATCTCTGTGGCAGAGAGATGATAATCTAGTGTGTAGCAGGGAAACTATAATCTAATGTAGGACTGGAAGATGAACATTCAATGTCCAGCACAGAAGTTTGGAATGTGACAAACAGATGAATTCCCACTGTCTTTCAAGGTGATAATGCTTTGGGATGAAGATCACCGTATGCCAATGCCAAGCAGTGAAATCGCTGGTCTATATTTCTGTATGTCTGTCACCGTCTGTGGCCTAGATGTTATAAACATGCTTCATAATTCTGAGGTACCCGGTTTTTTCCCCAGCCGTGGGTCATTTGGCCGTAGACCACATTGCACTGATTTCACCAGGGCTGTCTCAAGCTGGCCATTTAGAAAGCAGTGGCAAACTACTGAATGAAAAAATGCTTAGTAAGACCAAAACAGCGGAAAAAAATGCTGGGATTGGTTCTGCAATGTCCTGTTAAAAAAATACGCAGCTAACTATGTTTTATCTCCATATCTGATTGCACCCTTGAACTGAATGGTGCAGTCACTGAAATAAACACACCATTTTCAGAGTACTGTTTGTCTAAATATCTGCCTGTTTGTCTATCTGTATGTCTGTCTGTATGTTGTCTGTCTGAATATCTGCCTGTTTTTCTATCTGTAAATCTGTCTGTATATTGTCTGTTTGAGTATCTGTCTATTTGTCTATGCGTATGTTTGTATATCTGTCTGAGTATCTGTCCGTTTGTCTATGTGTATGTTTGTATATCTTCCTATAATTCTTTCTGTATGTATGTATTTATTTATATCTGACTATATATATTTTTTTTATCTCTGTCAGTAAGTCTAGATGACCTTGCATCGGTTCAACAGTGGTATCAAGAGCCAACCGTTCAGCGGAAATGGCAAACTATTAAAAGTAAAATTGCCTAGTGAAATTACGAACAGCTAAAACTTGATGACGTTGGTTCTGCAGCTTTCTGCAAATACCTGTGTCTATCTTTCTATGGATGAATATCTTTCAGTATATTGCTTTGTCTGTTGAGAAATTGAATACAAACATGAGTGATTTGTTCCCACGCCAGATGGAATCTCAAGACCAGACCATCACGATAGAGCAGTCGCAGTCAGACAGGAGCAAGAGGCTGTTCCATCCTGTCAGGTCAGTTCAGCAAAATTGACCTTTCCCCCTTTTTGACCTTTATCCGAAAGCTGGCCATTTTTTTTTTTCATTTATTAATTTGTGTTTATTATTCTTTTATTCATTGCTTTTGCTTGAGCCACTTCCCCCAGAAACTCTCTGTCGTCTAACAAGCATCTCATACAAGATAACTAATTATGATTTTGCTTAAGAGGGATTCCAGGGCTAACTTATGGATGCAAGGGTTGGAAAGAAACGTTAGCTCTAGATAGCAAATTAGACAATATTGAGAACAAATGTCTTAGAACAGTGGTTCTCAACTTGTGGTCGTGACCTTTTTGTGGGTTGAATGACCCTTTCACACATGTCGTCATAGACCATCAGAAAACACATATTCACTAAAGTTATGAAGTGGGAGTGAAAATAATTGTTTGGGGTCGCCACAACATGAGGAACTGGATTAAAGGGTCATGCATTAGGAAGGCTGAGATCCACTCTCTTAGAAGAATACTAAATCTCCACTGTACAGATTTCAGATCCAGTTCACAAATAAGACAAAAGACCAAGCAAGACAATGTTTCCAGTTTTATAAGAGAGCGCATCTGGAACCACACTGGCCATGCACTCAGAATGAATAAGACAAGACTCCGCCATCAAGCCCTAATATGGAAACCGGAATAGAAAGGATAACGGGGAAGACCAAGAGAGACCCTGCATAGAACCATCATCAGGGAAGACTCAAACATGGACCTAACTGACATCCAAGACCTAAAACAGGCAGCAACAAATGGCCAGGCATGGAGAACTATGACTTCTGCCCTATGCGCCACCCTAGGCTCAAGAGGAAAGACTTACTGCCTAAGCTAGATTGTTTTGGGAGAGCCAGCACCCTCTTAAGGCATAAGACAATCTCAATCAGCACAGAGCAACATCTCATACTAGGTATATTCATTCCCCCTCTCTGCTACAGGTGTCAGACATGGTCACTTACAACAAACTAGACATAATTATCAGCTCCATGGACCATAAGAAGAAGGGGTTAAATTTATACTTTTCTGGATTGCCTTTTACAGAGTAGACTTGACCGCTGACCAAGAGACTAAAATGACCGTTGGCCGTCTGCACTTCAGCGAAACTACCAGTAATAATATGAGGAAGAAAGGAAAGCCAAATCCGGATCAGCGTTACTTTCTGCTGGTAGTCAGTCTGCAAGCACAAAGTGGTCAAAATCAACATATGTTAGTGGCCAGTGTGTCTGATAAAATTATTGTCAGGGTAAGTTATTTTCTTTCCTTGGTATCAATTTATGTTTACATTCACATTCATTTTTCTCTTATTAGTATAAATTTATGTTTACATACGCTGTTATTTTCTCTCATTAGTATCAATTTATGTTTACAAACGCTGTTATTTTCTCTCATGAGTATCAATTTATGTTTACATACGCTGGCCAGTGTGTCTGATAAAATTATTGTCAGGGTAAGTTATTTACTTTCCTTGGTATCAATTTATGTTTACATTCACATTCATTTTTCTCTTATTAGTATAAATTTATGTTTACATACGCTGTTATTTTCTCTCATTAGTATCAATTTATGTTTACAAACGCTGTTTTTTTCTCTCATGAGTATCAATTTATGTTTACATACGCTGTTATTTTCTCTCATTAGTATCAATTTATGTATACATATGCTGTTATTTTCTCTCATTAGTATCAATTTATGTTTACATACACTGTTATTTTCTCTCATTAGTATCATGTTTACATACGCTGTTATTTTCTCTCATTAGTATCAATTTATGTTTACATACACTATTATTTTCTCTCATTATTATCAATTTATGTTTACATACAGTGTTATTTTCTCTCAATAGCATCAATTTATGTTCACATACAGTGTTACTCTCAATAGCATCAATTTATGTTTACATACAGTGTTATTTTCTCTCAATAGCATCAATTTATGTTTACATACGCTGTTATTTTCTTTCATGAGTATCAATGTAACAGTCATTTTCTCTGAGAGGTGAGGAACCAACAGCCTGAATACAAATAAGCCAGACCTGTCAAATGGATGTGCACACAAAACTTCAGTTATGCAATAAGACTAAAGTGCAGAAAAAACTAAGAACCTGAACTTTTGTCCAGAGTTCACAGCTGATGGATGTGGAAAAGACAAATATTTTCTATCAACAGAGTCAGTTTATTTTTACAGTTTTGTGTTTTCTCATTAGTTTCAACTAATTTTTGTGTCTAATTTGTGATAATTTCCAGCATTATTCATGTCTGTTTCTTTTCTCCATATATTTTTCATTTTTCTCTTTCATTCACTATGTAGGTTCCAGGTGAAGAACATTCTAGCTATGTTATTACCAGGTGTCTCTCATGTTTTATTATTTACATCACCAGCATTGTGTCCACACCACCTAACCCTGCCACCAAAAGGAGACTAATCACTTCCGATAGTGACACGATCCTGATATATCAGTGGTTCTCAACCTGTAGTTTGACCCTTTGGGGGTCAAACCACCCTTTCACAAGTGTCGCCTAAGACCATCGGAAAACACATTATCACTGAAGTTTTGAAGTAGCAACAAAAATAATTTATGGTTGGGGGTCACCACAACATAAAGAACTGTATTAAAGGGTTGCTGCATTAGGAAGCTTGAGAACTACTGTGATATACGGCCGTGTCTCCCAGGAGCTGTTCTTGAAAAGTGTACATTCCATTGTCCTGTGTGCACCTGCACAATGGTTAAAAACCAGGATATGAATATAGTAACTAAAAATAACATTTAGGTGATTTACCTATGATTTGATTTGATTTGATTCAAGAACCGACATCACAGCACTTAGGGCATTCCCATAAGCACTTCATCCCCATCTTCAGCAGCCATCAAAGAGTTCCGATACTAATGGTGCCAGTAGCATTCTGATTAAACATCCGTCTTGCCTTTCATCTGAGCCTCGAGCATCTGCCAGAACCTCTCGTCACTCCCCCTACTGCATCAATCTCACCAGACTGGTGATCCATCTGCTCCTCCAAACTGTACACGCTCTCTCACAAGGCACTAACCATGTCTGCTCTATCATGTATCAGTATTCCACCAAGTTGTGCAGAGCCAGCCAGTCTGTCAGCCTGTTCATTTCACAACCCACCGGCATCCCCGGTGAAAAAATCCAGACAGTACTCCTCACCTTTTTAGGTGGTTTACCTAATGACCCCAGTGGCTTTTTTAAAGCCTAGTTGATGTCAGGTTTTTCCATAAACCTCAGTTAGAGGTCACAGGATCTTAGCATGAGTTCCCTGATACATCTGGTTTTTTTAAGCCCTGGAAAATATATTCCATTTAATACTTCACTCTGTATTGTTTTATTGAAACCCTTTTATATATTTTTATATGTATTCAATAAAAAGTGGAGTAAAAATGTTTTTCCAGAAATTTCTATGGGCTCATGACCCATATTTTGTAGCATTCACAGGTCAAAAGGATTAATTCATTAAAAAAAAATAAATAACATATCTTTTTGTTGATTCTTGTCCTAGGCATCAAACCCTGGCCAATTTGAGAATGATGTTGATGCCATCTGGCAGAAAGGTCAAAGTTCAGAATCTGTCTACCACATGGGAAAGGTCGGGGTTAATACTGACCACCCAGAAGAATCCTTGACTGTGCACGGAAACTTGAGACTCACGGGTCACCTGACGCAACCATCAGATGCCAGGGCAAAGAAAGATATACAGGAAGTAGGTGCAGCATTGCCAGTGTGTATGTCTGGATTATGTGATATTAATAAATACCAGAATTCGGCAAACCAAAATTTTGTAAATTCTTCTTATAGAGACTTAACACAGATTCATCTGTTTCTGAGCTATAGCCCTTGCCGTTCACTTGGTTTCTGGGTAGTATTTATTTCTGATGGTTACACACATGTCTGAGATTTAATTAGCCAGACTTATGTGTGATTTCTCTCAGACAACTTTTGGTTAAGTGATCTGATCTATTCTTGTTTATACTTGTGGTATTGTATATTCATGTAATGTGATCGTATATTGATGTAATGTGGTATTGTATATTCATGTAATGTGATCGTATATTCATGTAATATGGTATTGTTAATTCATGTAATGTGATCGTATATTCATGTAATGTGATCATACATTCATGTAATGTGATCGTATATTCATGTAATGTGATTGTATATTCATGTAATGTGAATGTATATTCATGTATTGTGATTGTATATTCATGAAATGTGATTGTATATTCATGTAATGTGATCGTATGTTCATGTAATGTGATCGTATATTCATGTAATGTGATCGTTAGTTAGTTAGTTAGTTAGTTAGTTAGTTAGTTAGTTAGTTAGTTAGTTAGTTAGTTAGTTAGTTGGGTTATCATCATTGCACTCCGGACATGTCCATAGGTGCTCAGATCCTCCCCTCAGTATGAACCCCAACGTCTGATGGCTAATAGTACCAGTTCTATGTTGATTAACAAGTCTTCTGGCGTGTATGGTGTGCGTCTCGTTTTTTGCTGTGCCGATATTAATTCCCAAGTCTGCCATTCTGGCGAGTGATGTGGATTCACTGCCACCAAATTCCTCTCTCTTTCCCATTTCTCTGAGGGCATTGATAATATCAGCATGATCCATAGGCTGACCATCGGTAGTGATAGCGGATCCAGCCAACCTGTCAGCTCTTTCATTTCCATCGACGCCTGCGTATCCCGGAACAAAAATAAAGGTGACTCCACGCACAGTGGACTTCTGTAATGATTCAAGCCATTGTCTTCGCACTGAGCCTGCCTGAACCCTCCGGATCATACTCATTGAATCACTGAGTATACATACGCAGGTGTATTTTTGTGTTTCAAGCCAGGTATATTCAGGTATTGTGATCGTATATTCATGTAATGTGATCGTATATTCATGTCATGTGATTGTATATTCATGTGATGTGATCATATATTCATGTAATGTGATAGAATATTCATGTAATATGATTGTGTATTCATGTCATGTGATTGTATATTCATGTAATGTGATCATATAATCATGTAATGTGATTGTATATTCATGTAATTTGATCATATAGTCATGTAATGTGATCGTATATTCATGTAATGTGATCGTATATTCATGTAATGTGATCATATATTCATGTAATGTGATCGTATATTCATGTCCTTTCCCCTCAAAGCAGTCATATCTCCCTCTCCGAAGGACTGAAAAATCATCCATGGCAAAATTATTAAAATAGAAATAGTTAAGAATATTTTAAGCTCTCTCAGGTAACTGTGTTTGGCATAACCCGCCCAACCCCCCCCCACCCCCCCCCCCTTTTTTCCACCAATCATATCTCCCTGTCCGTAGGATTGAAAAATCATCACCTGGCAAAATTATTTAAATATAAATAGTGAAGAAATGAGAACTTTAAAATAATATTTTAAGCTCTCTCAGCTAACTGTGTCTGGCATATCTCCCCCCCCCCCCCCCCCCAATCATATCATCCTTCTGAAGGATGGGAAAGTCACCGCGTAACGAAATATTGTAACTAAATTGAACTTGGCATCCGTGTCCACCCAGACTTAAATAGGTAGCATTAACTTGTACTGAGAAGTAAATGTAGCCAGTGTAACAGCTACCACATCATCCCTTCAGTACCAGTACTACTGCAACCACTACCACCACCATCACAACAACAACAACAACAAAAACAAAAACTAACTACAGTCTGTGTAGGTCAGTGTAGAAAAGAGGAGTTAGCGCCGCATGCTGTCGCCACGGACTAATTAGTTTAATATTGCCCCAGACATTGGAAAAAAAAACTTTATCACGCAACCTGTGATGGAACCCACAGTGAAAAGTACACTATACTTATGAATAGTTGAGATAAATACCCTGCACCTGTCATCTCTCCCTCTCCGAGGGAACGATTTTTAACTGACCTTGGCATCCGTGTCCACCCAAACTAAACTGGACTGTAAGCCGTCTTAGTTAACAGTTTCTGTCATCACCGAATAGTTTTTGATCAGGAAGCGTCACGGGAAGGCTAATTAGGACTTAACTGAAATCAGATGTCTTTGGTTGAAAGGCACAGTAATAGCAGCCTAGCTGTAAACCACAACATAATGTGGCAAACATCCTTTTAAGAGAAAAAGAACAATTATCACCCAGTGGGGAATCGAACACCGGTCACCCCCGTAAAGGATGACATACTTACAACTATACTACTGACGACTGAAGAGCTTAGGTCAGATATTGCAGCCAAGCTGTAAACCACAACACAATGTGCCAACGACACTCTCGTGGGCAAACGAAGATTACCCGTGACATGACCTTTGAGCATCATGTCGCTGCTGTCGCAGGCTAGCTGTAAACCCTAAAACCGAAAAAGGCGTAGATATCGCAGCCTAGCCATAAACCACAACACAACGTGCCAGCCGCCCAGTTAGAGCTAAAAAAAAAAAATTATATCACCTACCGGAGAATCGAGCGTGGGTCACCCACATGATAGACAGAATAGTTACCAACTACGCTACCAAACACTCAAGCAGATTCTGGAAATGAAATTATATAATAATGCAAAGGTCAATAAGAGCTCAGCAGTCAAATATGGCCATTCAACTAAAAAAAAATCCGGGCCGGCAACAAAACAAATAATGATTTGACCGTTGCTGGAGCTATGTTGTTCGTGGTCTGTGCAATTTTCTGACAAACAATCACTCTTTGAGTCAAAGGCAACGTTGTGTGCAAATTTTAAAGCAATCGGTTCAGTAGTTTCCGAGTTTAGAGTTAACAACGTCAGAAAATTAACATTTTTATTAATATAGATAACTTCCTATTCCTGTCTGTCATCTGATATTTCAACCATTTGTGCCACATATGAAACATCGTATGGAGACATAATCAGAGACAGTGATATCAGAAACCAGGCTTGGACAGAACCAGTGCTGAATTCCTTGAGGAGACAACAGATCAAAAGGTTCGGATAGTGCCAAGACTACCACAAGATAATGCAACACTGAGAAATTTGTCACCAAAACATAGTAGAAGCATAACTAGAGATCACCCAAGTTATGTATAGATGAAATATCCAAAGCTGTGAATACGAGCATCTATGTACCGCATACTAAGGTTTTCACCAGTTGCTTCTTTAGAACCTGGTGCTGAAAAGCAGAACAGGACTTAAGAAAGAAGAAGAAGAAATATCATGTATGACTGACTTCTAATCAGTATTTTATGCCTGCTCGTATATATAGTCACAACTTACCAGAGAGAACATGTTTTCTTAAATTGTTGCATCCTACCGAGATATTGCATGCAAGAAACAGAACCTAATATCTCCCTCGGCACCCAAAGTGGTTCCACAAAACAAACAAAGACATAGAAGACATCAAAGACAGAATCCTAAATGCATATTAGCAACATTCTCCCTAAATATCTTTTAGCAACATTTTCCCTAAATGCATTTTAGCAACATTTTCCCTAAATGCATTTTAGCAACCTTTTCCTTGTTTTTCTTGCATGTGTTCCAGCACTTTTTAATACGTTCTTCCCATCAGATTAATCCCAAGAACCAGCTGAGAAATGTATCCAAACTTCGGATATACAAGTACACCTACAATCCTGACTATGCTGCTCTTGTGGGGATTCCACCAAACAGCAGAGAGGACACAGGTAATCCAATCTAGATTTTAGTGTTCCTGCGTAGAACTTATCTTTTAACCTTTTGCCCACAAACTCTTGGGGGGGGGGGGGGGGGGGAAAGGGAATGTGATCCCCAAAATTCCTAAAAAATCCTTAAAAAACACGACCACAACTCATTCTTCTTCTTCTTTACATCCTCTTTTACCACTTCGCATGTTGAGGGAGATATAGGGTCCAGATTTGTGCTCTTCTAGCTGCTTTGACCATAGATTCATCATAGTGCTGTAGAGTTTCTCTAATGTTATCTTCCCATGTTATTCTTGGTGTACCTCTTGCTCTATGTCATTCTCCTCTTTTCGTACATGCTATGTATGGTATAGCATCAGAAGGCCACATCTGGCACTGAAAGCATAGAGTGGGAATGAATGTGTTTAATAAGAGATGTCTCTTTGTGCTGATTGGGATTGCCTTATGCTGTAAGAGGGTGTGCTGGCTGTCCCTTGGCCAGCTTTACTGCATCGAATGTCAATTTCTTTATCTAATTTACCATCTTCAGTTAATGTTGTTCCAAGATATTTAAACTCAGATGCCTGTTTAATGTGTATGCTTTAATGCTATATTTAAATTCTGCTTCTTGCTTCCTATTGACATTACTTCTTTCTGTCTTTTCATTGTTGATTCTCATATTATTTGATTTACATTCTTCATTCTTGGATGTGAGATGCTGTCACAAATTCATGGCTGTATCTGCAATCAAGGCCTGGTCATCAGCAAAGCGTAATTCCTTGATGTTACTATTATTTTCATTCCTGGGCTTGGCATCTTTGCTTATACTGTTTATGTAGCTTATGAATACATTATAAAATATGGTACATATTACAAAAATCACCCCATCTCTTCGGGCATGTGAATTCCCACAGACTGTCCTATGTTCTAGGGGTGTCATGTTTTCTTGCAAAGGAATGCATATCCTAACACTCTACTGCATAGGACAGCCCGTGGGAAGAAAAGCCACGGCATGAATAGGAGCTGGCATAAAATCTAGCACCAAACGAGATGGGGTGATTTTCATGATTTGTACATAAAATATTCACTGATGCCGATACTAAATTATGAATCGACATCATGGCATACTGGGCATACTCACATATGTGCTGTCTCCCACAGTTAGATTCTAACTGTTCCTGTGTCATACTGATAACACATGTGGTTCTCTACCTCTGAGATGTCACTTCTTGCCAGCCAGATTCACATCCAGTTCCTCGTTCACACATTCATACACGTGTTATGTCATCTGACCTTGCATCTTCTATCAACATTCGTTCATAAATGATCTTCAGAACTCCTCTTCTAAAGTACAAGTGTCCCTCTAGCTATCAGGTACATTAATATATATATATATATATATAAATGAAGGGGAGTAATTAAGGGTAATATGGGGAAGAAAGGGTGAACTCTTTATGTTCTAAGCAATGTAAACAATGAATGGGACTGTAAACAACGTCTTATAATTTTGTTTTCTTTTGTATGGAATTGCCTTACCTATGTTTCTTTAATACTGTTTGCTTCTTATAAAATCTGTGTATAAGCTATTCATACCCTGTGTAGTTTCTAGGGTCCAATTTTTTGCCCCCCAAAAAACACAGATAAACGCATTTCCCCCTTATAGGCAGCTAACTAGGCGTTTTGCTAAAATTGGATATTCTGGGCTGTAAAAACATCTCTTTTATGAACGAAAGCAAAAAGAAGAATATGTTAAGAATTAGTAGTTTTGGGTCAAATTTGTCTTATCAATAGAATCTTTGTGTGTAATGTATTTTGCCATTAACAGTTGTGTCTTTAATAAAATTCTTTATAATATTCATCTTGGATCTATTTTAGGAGTGCTGGCTCAGGAGATTTTAGATGTCCTTCCAGATGCTGTCCAGGAGACCGGAGATGTTGTCTTGTCCAACGGGGAGACAATTGAGAACTTCTTGGTTGTTAATAAAGTAAGTACTAGCTGGCAACTGTGAAAACAAAAACAAAACAAAACAGATGCCTCATTGACTAAATTGCATCATTTTCTTTAGGGAAATTCTAGATATGGGGTTGGGGGGGGGGGGGGGGGGGGGGGGGGGGGGGGAATACTAATAACTAAAATACGTTTTTGGGAAAGGCAAAAGTGGAAATTTTAGTTTCATAATTCTATTTTTCAGTTTTTCAAGGTCTAAGGAGCAAAGAACAGATGATTTGGTTATCTAACAATTGTGCCCTTATACCAGCTGCCATAGAGAGCTACACTAAAGAAATATAATGAACACAGAACAAATGGAATATAAACTGTGTACACAAGAGTGCTGAATGGCCATGGACCATGAGGCAGACTAAGAAGACAATGGAGAGATAATATCCAGACAGACCTACATTCACTTGCTGTCACCAGATGGTCAGAGAAGGTCAACTAGAGAAATGAGTGGAGCCTGGTGGTATCTGCAAAGATGCCTGAAAGATGGAATGACAGCATCAAGAACAGCCTTACAGAAAAGAAAATCAACTTATACAGCACATTAGAAATAGCAGAACACAGAGGATCCTTACATCTCTACCCATGATGCAAAAGAAAAAAGAGCACAATAGCAGACATCGTTGTGCAGTTTGCATTTTAAGTTTAAGCAAGTAATGATTGCCTGGTTATGTTTCCGGGAGCTAGACCAGCACTGTAGCTAGACACTTGTCTGCCTGCCTAAGGTTTTGGGTTTAAATCTGTCTTGAAGCAGACTGATTTAATTTATGTATGGTCCTGTGTAGATGTAGCGTAAACAGGTACTGGGAATTGTCCTAGGAAGTAAAGGAAGCTGGGTGATGTTAATCATTAGCCATCTGATGTCAGTTTATTAATGCAAATATGGGGTTGAGCATCACATGCCCAAGGCACCAACAGTGTGAACCTTGTCCTTCATTTATTTTAGAAAGGACGTCACATTTGTTCCAGACAAACACTCTGTTGTTTAGTGTAGACTCACTTGAGAAGACCACTGTTAACATGAATAAAATGTTGGTCCCAGCCTCTTCTTCTTCTTCCTATTTTACCACTTCAGACGTCGAGAAAGATATAAGGTTCTGCTTCCTGCTGTTCCGGGCGCTGCTTTGACCATAGACAAATCGTGATGTTGTGGAGTTTTAGAAGACATATGATTAATGTTAACAGAATATTGATCTCAGAAAGGATGTATATTTGTATTAGTACCCAGTTCCCGCACATTTATTATATTTTTAACACGAGCTCAATTTTGAATCTCTTAGAATTCAGATACGAAATTTTTACTTTGTATTCTAGTGTCAGTTTTGCTTTTCTCTCTCTCTCTCTCTCTCTCTCTCTCTCTCTCTCTCTCTCTCTCTCTCTCTCTCTCTCTCTCTCTCTCTCTCTCTCTCTCTCTCTCTCTATCTCTTTGTCTCTCCCCCCTCTCTCTATCTCTGTCTCTGTCTATCAATGACTCGCTCTCTCTCTTTCTCTCTCACTCTGTATTTGTGTGTGTGTGCGTGTATGTTTCCTTCCAAATTTTCAAAATGTAAATACACTTTGATTGTAACAAACCATTGCTGCTTAATGTTTTGGCTTTAGGATCGAATCTTTATGGAGAATGTTGGGGCGGTGAAGGAACTTTGTAAACTAACAGATAACCTGGAAACTCGTATTGATCAGCTGGAGAAGATGAACCAAAGATTAAGGTCATTGAAAAGGTTTGACAGTCTCAAATCAACAAGTAGCAATCAGAGTGGCAAATCTGCATCAACGGCTAGCTATGCAAGGTCAGTCTTGTCTCTTGTTACTTGTCACGTCACATGTTACTTATTACTTGTCACTCATTATTTGCCACTTGTTACTTGTTACTTGTCTCTTGTTACTTGTTATTTGTCACTTGCTACTTGTCTCTTATTATGTGTCACCTTTTTTTGCTGTTTTTATTTGTCACTGGAAGTAATTGATCTGAATGCCTGGCTTTCTTTTCTTTCTTTGTGTTTTTTCCCCCTCAACTATCTTCCTATTCACCTGCATGGTGTATGCTCATCCAGACCTCTCCACAGTTCAACAAACAGTAGCTAGATTTTAATCACTGTGCTGGTTCTGACTGGGCAGTGGGACATGGGTAGCTGTAGTTGTATTTTGTAATCCACTTTCCGGTTCTTAATCCAATTTTCAGTCCATATCAGTTCATTACCAGTTGCTCGCCCACATCAGAAAGAGAGACAATCTACATTCTTTGGTGATGTGATGAGAAGTAGAAAAGTGGACTACATCATAGAGACAATCTACATTCTTTGGTGATGTGATGAGAAGTAGAAAAGTGGACTACATCATAGGGACAATCTACATTCTTTGGTCATGTGATGAGAAGTAGAAGAGTGGACTACATCATAGAGACAATCTACATTCTTTGGTCATGTGATGAGAAGTAGAAAAGTGGACTACATCATAGAGACAATCTACATTCTTTGGTGATGTGATGAGAAGTAGAAAAGTGGACTACATCATAGAGACAATCTACATTCTTTGGTGATGTGATGAGAAGTAGAAGAGTGGACTACATCATAGAGACAATCTACATTCTTTGGTGATGTGATGAGAAGTAGAAAAGTGGACTACATCATAGAGACAATCTACATTCTTTGGTGATGTGATGAGAAGTAGAAGAGTGGACTACATCATAGAGACAATCTACATTCTTTGGTGATGTGATGAGAAGTAGAAAAGTGGACTACATCATAGAGACAATCTACATTCTTTCGTCATGTGATGAGAAGTAGAAGAGTGGACTACATAATAGGGACAATCTACATTCTTTGGTGATGTGATGAGAAGTAGAAAAGTGGACTATATCATACAGACAATCTACATTCTTTGGTCATGTGATGAGAAGTAGAAAAGTGGACTATATCATGACAGTGGGAAAGTTAGAGGGAAAAAGAGGCAGAGGGAGACCGAGAGAACAGATGCTGGACAGTTTGACATCATGGCATGGAACATCATCTCTGTCAGCGTTGAAAGTACACGAGACAAAAGGTTGTGGATAGACATGACTACCTAGGCCACACGGCATGGAGTTTGAAAAGATGACCATAAGCTCTGTTTAGCTCTGAATCAGTGGTATAACAAACAGGTTAGTTGCGTATCCTTTACAGGACGTTGCAGAACCAACCCCAGCAGCCCCTGGCTGTTGTGTGGTTTCTCTAGGTACAATTTTTGTCCAATAGTTTGCCATTGCTCACTGGACGGTCGGCACCCTGATACCATCCTCGAAACCAACGCAAAACACATGGCCCGCAGCTGAGATCAAACCCGGCGCCCCAGCATTACGAAGTGTTCGCATCGACTTAGCCACAGAGCCGACGGCATAACATATAACTGTATTTATATTCCAGCTCTGTATCACCCAAAACTAACTCCTCCGTATTCACACCTGGAAAAGAAGGCGACCATCACACCAACATGAAGAATCATTCAGGGAGATGTCCCAGCAAGAACAAAATGGCGTCTGATAATTTCTGGATCCAGCGTGGCTTTCAGACATGTCAGGGTTGCTTCAGATACATTGTGTTTGCACTGATTCTAATCATGGCGTTGTGGTAAGTGCTGTCAAATTGTTTTTAAATGGGTCCTTGTTAATAGACAACTCTATGGTGAGTGTGAAAAACTGTTTTTTAAATGGGTCCTTGTTATTAGACAACTCTATGGTGAGTGTGAACAACTGTTTTTAAATGGGTCATGGTCATTAGATAACTCTTTGGTTAGTGTGATAAAACTGTTTTCACTAGGTCATGGTCATTAGATAACTCTTTGGTTAGTGGGATACAACTGTTTTTAACTAGGTCATGGTCATTAGATAACTCTCTAGTGAGTGGGATACAACTGTTTTAACTAGGTCATGGTCATTAGATAACTCTTTTTCTCAGTGTTTTTTCAAAACTCATTAGATAACATTTTTATCAGTGAGTTTTTTTTTCTACATTTGGTAACATGGCCGCAACATGGCCTGTATCAGGAGACAGTAGTGAGCTCTTTTATAGAGAGAAGGCATTGAAATATCAATCTTTGTGTGTGAGTGAAAGGATTAGCATAACCATTGTCTGGGAATGGAGAGGTTGAAATAACTTGTAACTATAATTAGGATGATTGTAATATGAGGATCAACACCGAAAAGACAGAAACAGTGGAGAGTTAGTTGTGTCCCTTTACAGGACGTTGCAGAACCAACCCCAGCATTTTTTGGCTGTTGTGGGTTTTCTAGGCAAATATTACCTTCAGTAGTTTGCCATTGCCTCTGAATGGTAAGCTCTCAGTACCACTGTTGAAACCAACGCAAGACAAATAGTCAGCAGCCGGGATCGAACCCATCACCCCAACATTACAAAACTCGTTCACAATGCCTAAACCACAGATGCAGTAGAGTTCAAAGATATTAACAGGCATTTGAGTTTAAATATCTTGAAACCACATTCACAGAAGATGGTAAATGAGATAAAGAAATAAATATCTAAGGTAGGAACGCAAACCAAGTATTAGGACAGCTAGCACCCCCCCCCCCCCCACCCCCTACCCTTTTTCTTACAACCTAAGACAATCCCAATTAGCACCAAGAAAGATCAAAAACAAAATCTATTCATCGCCACCCTATGCTGCCAGTGACATGTGGTCACTCACAAAAAACCAGCAGAGAAAAATAGTTACCATGGAAAGGAGATGTCTGAGAAGGACTGCTTGAGTGACCAAAAGAGATAAAATCAAGAATGAGATCAAATAAAAATGAGTCAGCACAGAAAAAAAAGTAAAGGACTCTTTTCCACGCATTTAGGCGTATAGGGCATATAGGGCTAGACCTATATTTTATAGACCAACAGCACAAGATGGGTGATGTGGTCAGCATCATGCTGGCTGCCTCTACTTCCCGGGACTGCACCCGGTACCCACTCAAGACTGGGTCGACCTGGGAGCCAAGGTCCTTTTTTGAAGAAAAGTCCGGCTCCGCAAAGTAGCGAGCCTACGACCTTCTGATCTCCATGGCGACTACCTGTCAGCACAGAACCAATGCTAAATTACATACAGTGGCAGCAGATCTAGTGATTTGTCCATTTAGAGATGATGCCTCATGATACCATGCCACACAAGACATACACTAAATCAAGAGAAAGACATACAGATTCTGACCAAGATGGAAAGATAACATCAGAGAAACTCTACAACAGCACAGTGTGTCTGTGGTTGAGGTGGTCAGAAGAGCAAAAAGCAGAACCTTATATTTCCCTCAAAATCTGAAGTAGCTAAAGAGGAGTAGCTAAACTTACTGTGGCTTCCACTTGTTGTCCACACTGCTCAAGTAGCTAAAGAGGAGTAGCTAAACTTACTGTGGCTTCAACTTGTTTTCCACACTGCTCAAGAACTTTCTGGGCTCATATTGGACTAATCAGCCACCTTCGCACTCATAATCATTGATCATTGCTTCTTTGGATGAAAAGTGGTCTTCATCGCTTAGATGGATAAACAACAGATAAAGAGACAGCTGAAGAGGAAGTGAAGAAGAAGAAGAAGAATAAGAAAGGGTTAATATTACAATTTCTGGGGAAAAGGAGTTGAAATAATAAGCTTTATGTGAAAGGTTATTTTAAGTTAGAATTAACAATATCAACACCTATTTATAATCATATATTGGCCCGGCTTGCTAGCGTAGTTGGCTAAACCGGATTGCGCAGTGATCGGGTGACAAACCCCTTGTGATCCGGGTTCACTCCCGGGGTAGGCAGAAAGCCACATTTTCTCCCAGATCTACGGTACTTATCATGGAATCAAGGCCAAAAAGTTGCGATATCCATAATTCTGAGCCTAAGGGTTAACAACTCATGGCTTCTGGATACTAAAAAATAAATAGTCATATATTTAACAATTGTGTATTTTGTATCCTATACAGTTTAATGGCCTTGGCTTGTCTCTACATCCTTGAAATCCAAAAGTCAGACTCAAACAATATTTTCTCCGTAACCGAGCCTAGTTTCATCAACTCTTCATTATTGTCGTCATCATCATCATCATCATCGACTTCAGCGGTAACAACAACCAGGACTACAAAAGGTGTGTGAGAATGATCATCAGAGTATCATTATCATTTCATCATCATCATCATCTTCATCAGTACGTCATCATCATCATCTTCATCTTCATTATTATCATTATTATTATCATTATTATCATCATTATTATCATTATTATTATCATCATTATGTCATCATAATCATTATCATAATTATCATCATCATCAGTATTTTCATCATCATCATCATGATTATCATCACCATTATCATGATTATTATCATCATTATTATCATAAACATCATCATCATCATCATCATCATCATCAGTGGTAACAACTAATGATTTGAAATGTGCACCCAAAGGTGTGAGAGAATGATTAGATTGCCCTCATCATCATCATCATCATAATTCACACATCAAGCGGTACAGAGGAGGAAACTACGGTATCTAGCTTTGCCCCATTGTGTAATCTTCACATGGTCACAGGCAGAAACAAATGCAAGACAAAGAAAATGGATGCCGTGGTAATTAAGATTACGATAGGCAGATCTGGTTGCAATTCAAAGATGGAAGATATTTTAATGGGCCAGTTGAATTTGCAGCCAGATGCCAAGGGCAAACAGTGGCATGACTTGCTGGTCAAGATGCATTAGACAAGACAAGCTGTGGAACAAGACAAGTTGTGCAACAAGACAAGTTGTGGAACAAGACAAGTTGTGCAACAAGACAAGTTGTGCAACAAGACAAGTTGTGGAACAAGACAAGTTGTGCAACAAGACAAGTTGTGCAACAAGACAAGTTATGCAACAAGACAAGTTGTGGAACAAGACAAAAATCTAAACAAAGCTAACAGACTCTGAAAAACAAGAAGAATGAGAGAGAGTGTGACATTAGCAAATGTTTCTAAATAATTTCAGGGGGCTGCGTAGTCTCGAGGCATGCTGTCTGCCTCGAGTGCTCGAGGTTCCGGGTTCAATCTTTGGTAAGGACTGGGATTTTTTCAGGTGGACTTGGACTTCTAGTAATTCCCCCTGGTCTCTGGGTACGGAGATCAGACGCCCGTGTGCATTGTTGTGCATGTAAAAAAATCCCTTGGCAGTTGGATCCTCGCCAGTGCTACAGAGCCTGTGCACTGTGCTGAGCTTCTACGTACTCAGACTTAAGTTAGAAGAAGAATGGAGCACATATGGGTTACTACCCGTATGCCATGATGTTGATCCGTTGTTCAAACTTCAAACCTCAAACCTCGAAAAAATTAAAATAATGCCGACAAAAATGGATTAGCCTGACATGTTTCTCTGTATCTAGTCAGGCGTACTAAGTAAGTAAAGAACCCATTTTCATGCAGTCAGGCATATTAGGCACATAGGGTTAGATCTGTATTGTGTAGCCCATTCGACACTCAGAAGCACAAACAGATTATCACAGTCTGAAGAGAATGGTCCAGCTAGCGTTGATCAGGGAATACTGCCACTGCTCAACACTCAGGGAGGGGCCGAGAAAGGCATACAGACTGTTACTGGTGTTATTGGAATTAGAATTTTGTGCTTAATGTTGAAGATGGGGAGGCAGCGCTTATTGAAATGTTCTGAGTGCTATGATATCACTTCATAATTCATCTACAGGAAGAAGCATGGCCGTAGTAAATCCACTGCTCTCTTTAGGAATATTACCTAATAAGGCTTCCATGTTCTCCGTAGTGTAACTTATACTACAGACTGCAAGCCATATGCGGGTGATGTGGTCAGCATCACACCAGTCACTTTTACCTTCCAGGACTTTACCTAGAACCCACTCAAGGCTGGGTTGACCTGAGACCCAAGTTCATTTCTGAAGAAAAAAAAAATTGTCTTCCTCCATCAGGACCTGGACCCATGGTTTTCTGATCGGCCTCAGGCTTGAGACTACAGGGTTCATCTGTTCACTCTGTGGAAATTTGTACTAACCCTTTCATCCCAGTGACCTAGAGAAAAAGCCAAGCTCCCAAACTTTCTATTTTTGCTAAATTACTGATAAAACCTCCTTAGGTAGAGAACCATTTTACACATCACACACACACTCACACACACACACTCACATTGTGGGGGAAACAAGAATAGCTCCACTGCCTCCCGAACAAGCATATCGTAATTGGGGGCTTCCTTCGAAGTCGGAGTGCATCTGCCTGAGAGTCGAGGAACCAACACTCTGCATACAAATAAGTTAGGTCTGTAAAACAGATTTGCAAGAAATACTCAGGTTCTGGGACAAGACTAAAGTCCAGAAGTGGACAAACAAAAGAACTTTCCACCAGAGTTAACAGCCAGTGATCACGAAGAAGAAGATAATGTCTCTGTTTACATTTCACATTTCACCAACTGAAATTCTAATCTTGAACATCCAGTGAAGATTTGTACAGTGAGATATTCTTCTTCTAAAATTCACAGTCACGACACAGTCGTCAGCTTTCTGGGCCAATCTGCCAGTGATCCCGCCTTACCCCATGTGTGCGCCCGGATACTGTGAGGTCCTGTGTTGCCCAGCACCCCATGAGATTGAGCCAATCATCATTGACAAAAAACATGATGGAGAGGACCCACCATGTAAGCACACATCATCATCATCATTATCAAGTGCATTTCTAACTGGCATGGGTGATTATGCCACGCCATGAAAAACAAATCTTCTTGTGTTGTCTTCTTCTGTCTCCTTTTCCACAGATCATATACAGCTGTGTTGGTTTCCCTTCACCTTCTGCCAGACATCATAATCATCATCATTCATGTAGTAAGGTTTCATTGTAGCCTGTTCAAAAGACTGGCCACTTGTTGCCTTTTCCAACTGTAAATTTTCTTGCCCAAGGTATCTTCAGTGAGTCTGCATTTATCTTGATAATCATAATCATGTGCCATGTTGATCAACTTAGGTGGTCATAGTTCATCATGTCACATAGTCACCAGAATCATGGATCAGATTAATGTTCTTGTCCCACTCGGGCCATGTGGCCATGTCACACAAGTATTTATCTCTTTGCCTTCGCTTTGCTCTTTTTTCCCCCATCTAGTCTTCTGGTCGTCACCAAGTTTTTGATTATTCCTTATAATATGTCTAATGTCATGACTAAAAAAAGAAGTAAAGTAAAGATCCCTTTTTACGCCTTCGGTGCATCGGGCCCATGGGAAGAGCACCCATATTTTTTACATACCATTGGCACTAGGTGGGTAATGTAATCAGCATTACGCCCATCATCTTTACTTTCCCAGGACATATATCCTGGTATCTATTTTAGGCTGGGTCGACCTGCGACGCCCCATACCATGATAAAAAGCAGTGGGTTTTGATCACGGTATGTTGGAATTACGAGTCGGACGCCTAAGCCACGGACTCTGCCAATGTCATGACTGTCTGTGTCTAATTTCTCTTTCAGTTTACAGTTTTCTTCTGACTTGAGGAGATGGTCAACCCCTGCCTCTCCCATTATTCTCAGATCAGCATAGAGTATATCAATCTTTTTGTAATCTGTAAAGATCCAACAGTTATGAGAAATGTTTGAGGTTTGAGGTTTTGAACAACGGATCAACATCATGGCACATGGATAGTAATCCATGAGTGCTCCGATCCTCTTTCAACTCTAGTCTGAGTCCAAAGAAGCTCAGCACAGTGCACAGGCTCTGTAGCACCCGCGAGGATCCTGAAATACTTTGGGAAGATTTTAAACTCTAATTTTGTTCCAACTGTCAAAGGATTTTTTACCTGCACAACAATGCACACGGGCGTCTGATCTCACTACCCAGAGACCTGGGGGAATTTCTAGAAGTCCAAGTCCACGTGAAAAAAATCCCCAGCCCTTACCGGGGATTGAACCCGGAACCTCTATCACTCAAGGCGGACAGCATGCCTCCAGACCACTCAGCCCCCTCAGTTATGCTGAAGCAACAGAGATGTGGTTTTAAAGACTAATGCTCCCCATGTGGGATCCGGGGCCCCATTGTGGGGGAAAACAAGAATAGACCCACTGCCTACCAAAAAGCATGTCGTAAGAGTCGACTAATTGGTAGCTTCCTTTGAATTCGGAGTGCATCTGCCTTAGAGGCAAGGAACCAACAGTCTGCATTCAAGTGAATCAGATCTGTAAAACTGATGCACACGCAACACCCAGGTTCTGGAGCAGGACTGCAGTCTAGGTGTGGACTAACAACCAGAACTTTCCGCCAGAGTGTACAGCTGGTGAACGCGAAGAAGAAGAAGAAAGACTAATGCTGAGAACACTGTGACAGATAACAGGAGTAATGACAATGTTCTGAAATAAATTGACTCATGGAGAGAAACAATAGCATATATCAAAAGGAGACAGTCTACATTCTTTTTTTTTTTTTTGTCATGAGAAGGTGAAAAATTGGAATACATCATGAGGGTGGGAACGCTGGAGGGAGAAAAGGGCAGAAAAAAACAGAGAAAAGTTGCTGCACAGTTTGACATCAATGCATGGAAGATCACCAGTGTCAGAATGGATTGAAAGTACACAAGACTGAAAGACTACCAAAACCACACAGCAGGAACTATGGAAGATCACATGTGTCAGAATTTATTTAAAGTACATGAGACATAAGGTTGTGGATTGACATGATCATCAATGCCACACAACATGGATTGTAAGAAGGAGAAAGATCCAAACAGTTAGCACTATTAGCAGTTGCTTGAGCCAGAGGTAGAAGCTGTAACCTTTGATCTCTACCTCTTTTATCTCTATCACTGTCTTGGGACTGAGCCTCGAGAGGCAGGGGGTAAGAAGTGTTGGTGTTGTGGGTAGTGGGTTCCCCCCTTACTTCACCCTAGGTCTAGTGAATATCTGTTCACGAAAGGAGCGTCCATTGTGGTGTCAGCATCTTGACCTAGCAAAACCTCTCTTACCTCAAGACCATTGTGCGTGGCGAAGAGTCACAGCCTCCCCGAGGTAGTCCTGGTAACTGGGGGTGCGAATCCCCAGGCAAAACACAATGGATCTAGAGGAGCAAACCTCGATAATAAACCTGGTGCACCACACCGTACTGCCCCCTGTGGGAGGGAAGGAGCCAGAGGTGTGCTGAACAGTCTTAGGAATGGAAACAAGTATGCTAACCCCCCCTGAATACCGGAAACTATCGTGAAGGCACAGGGACTCAGGACGTGAGGATCCAGTTGCCCCAACTACTCATGCTTAGGCCAAGCTTAGAGCCATGAAGAGCTCAGCGAAACCTGCAGGCAATCTGGTGGCGGGGAATGAGCACACTGTGAGCCCCACCTTAGCTACGTGTTAAAGGGGAAGGCAGAAACACAACCCATATTTCCTTTAGAACTGGTACAGGGCATTTCTAGCTGCTGCCCGGGGAGGTAGGTAATCCACAGACACCCCAGCACCACAATGCCATGAATATGTCAAAATTTAAGAATACATACGAGATCGGTCGTCGCCTCGTCTATCAAGGCCCGCGCCAGACAGTGGGAAACCAGGCTGTCATGTGCAAAGAATTGGCTGCTGGAAAATTTGAAATAAATAGGAAAATCAGACACCCCAGGAGGAGGAAGAGTGGGAGGGAGAGCAAAGAGAACTCAGACAGCACAGCAAAAAATACACAGATGCTCAATATTCTGCAGCTGAACATCTGTGGAATAAGAAATAAGAAACTTGAACTTGCCAAACTGCTAAACAACCACAGGGTACACGTGGCTGCCCTACAAGAAACCCTGCATAAAGACTCTGATCTGCATCTCACTGGATATACTAGTTATGCCTGTAAGTGCAATGACTGCCGGGGCATAGTGACCTATATCAGAAATGACATACAAGGAGATGTAACAATGCTGTCGACATCTCACCCTACAGATGTGCAAAAAATAACTATCTGGCACAATGGAAGCAAATATACGATATACAACGTGTACAGCCCACCTCAGACAACATGCAACATACCAGAACTATACAAGACACAGTACCATAAAACCCTTCTTGTTGGTGACTTCAACGGACACTCGCCACGTTGGGGTTACCCTGACTACATTAGCACAGGGAAATACATCGAAGATACTTGTGAAACAACTAACCTATTAGTGCTGCAGGACACAGAGTCTACACCTACACTGTTACACAAGGCCCACCTATCTCTCAGCCGACCAGACCTGACCATCTGCTCATCCGACTTAGCAGACGCAAGCTATCCCCAAGTCCTGGACGACATAGGAAGTGACCACAAACCTTTACTCACAACTATAAGCTCCACCGCTAAATTACGCTTCAAGCAGAGAACCCGTTGGAATTTCCGAAAACCAAACTGGAAAAAATTTCAGGAAACATCTGACTGCCTCCTGGGAAGAATTGACAACAGCTGTGTGGAAACTTTTTGTGAAGACATAACACAAGCAATCCTGAATGCAGCATCGAAAGCCATCCCAAGGGGCAGCCGGAAGGTATATAAACCTTTTTGGAATCAAGAAATTCAAAATACTATATCTGAAAGGAATAAAGCAAGAATATTGCTCGAAACTGCACGTTCAACAGAAGCAAAGATCCAATACAATAAAGCATGTGCCAGAGTAAAGCTTGTAGTTAATAAGGCTAAAAGAGATAAATGGACAGAAACTTGCTCCAACTTAGACCTTAGACAGAATGGAAATAAAGCATGGACTTTAGTTAAAAACCTCTCCGGAGAAAGTAGAAGGGTGAACCCAAAACCAGTGACAGATGGGAGTAAGACAATCACTGAAGACAAGAAGAAAGCAGAACATTTCAATCATTATTTTGCTTCAGTTAACAGAGCAGGTAAGCTGTCAGAACTCAATAGAACACAGCTCTCTCAGTTGAAGAAACAAGAGAGAGCTCCAACAGCCAGCGACTCCCTTTTTGAAAATGAATTTAGCATGGATGAATTAGAGCAAGCCCTGAAGAAATTAAAACCTAGAAAATCTCCACAACGAAATGCTGCTACATCTTGGCCGGTCTGGGAGAGAAGTAGTTCTCAGGCTTATTAATAAAACTTGGAGGTCAAGCAAACTTCCAGAGGCATGGAGGAATGCATATATCGTCCCCATTCTTAAAACCAAAAAGCCGCCAGATGACCCCAAAAGCTACCGCCCGATATCCTTAACATCATGCTTGGGCAAAGTTGCAGAAAGAATGATAAACAGGCGCTTATATTGGTTCCTTGAGAGTTCTAGTGTTCTATGCCATGAACAGGCAGGCTTCAGAACCAACAGCTGCACAGAAGACCAGCTGTTCAGACTGACACAAAGAATACATGATGGCTTCCAGAATAAGAAACACACAGTAGCAGTCTTTGTCGACCTCCAGCAGGCCTATGACAGAGTATGGAGAAAAGGTCTCCTGATGAAGATGATGAGCATAGGAATACATGGCAGATTGTATAACTGGGTGAAATACTTCCTGATAGATAGAACAATCCAGACTAAGATGCACAACGCAATCTCTTCTAAAGAAGTCTTGGAGGAGGGCTTGCCACAAGGCTCATCATTGAGCTGTACACTATTCCTAATCTTTATCAATGACCTGCCAGAACAAATCAAGGCCGAAAAAGCCTTGTACGCTGATGACCTAGCAATATGGCAGAGTCATGAAAATGTGGAAAGTGGAGCCCAAAGA